TCACCCTGCACGCTTCTCCTTGGTGTGCATAATATGAAATACAGGCGTGCAATTATAAAGTTTCATGTCCTTATCTATACATGTACTTGAACGCAATTATAAAGTTTCATGTCCTTATCTATACATGTACTAGAACACACACATTAACGACCACATGATACAATGAAAACCAAGTGCAATTTAAGAACAACTATGAATTTACAGACTGCTTTCACTTTGTCATATCAGCATACGCACACGACATTGAATAAGTTCAGATTCTTCGAAGACGCTATAACACAAGTTTATTATTGTATTTCTTTGGGGGTTTCTATCTAATTATTAGTTGTGTCCTCACTGTCCCCTGTACAGACTAAACTAGTATCCAGTATACATCGATATTCCTTCATATTCGACTTCCAATCAATGTATCAAATAAAAGATGTGGTTGGATGAGAGCTAAGTGTGAACCAAACTCAAATACACAGAGATTGAGTTGTGTTATTAGAGTTCAAAGGTAAGCACTCGAAGTGAGAATGTTTTGACAAGCAGCGGACTCTTTCACAAAAACGGAGCGTCGGGTCCGTTTATCAATCAGTAAGGAAAGGATTAATTAACTTTCGTATTCTGTAATGGCTATTCTAGGTGATGCATGTGAAGATGTGTTGATAGGTGATTTCTTCTCACCTGACATGGTATATATGGACGCGGTTGTTTTCCACAACAGACATCATTCACTCTCAGTATTCATCAATCCATACCAGTGAATAAAGTGACAACGGAACATTAAAGATGGCTGGCATCGATCTGTCGTATACTCCCTGCTTTTTGGAAGATGATATATTCACCTTCGAGACATGTGATCGTAGTGAAATTCAAATCCTAGGTATGGTATTTCTATTAATTATTCTATTAAGTGTGTGATATTTTAATTTCAAAGAGGAATCCCCTGTCTCAATTTCATTACCGTAATCTCCATATGTTGTTGAAATAATGAACTATCATTTCTTTATGTTTCAGATACAACACAAGACTGTGACATCACAGCTGGCGTATCCGAGTCTGAATTCCAGGATTCCCTAAACGCCCTCTTCAAGACCATTGAAGAACACTGTGATGATGAGCCTGATAATACATCTATGTCCGCAGATTTGGATATAACACAAGCATCTCCTCCTCCCTTGACTTTTCTTCGTGCAGCTTGCAATGGAGAAACAGAACCACGCAAGACATGTATTCCTTCACCATCACCGTTACCCAGCCTTGACCCAACCGACACCCTTTGCTTCAGTCCAGCACCCACAGAGTCCACTGTTGCAGTCAACCCATTGTTGGACAAGGACCTCCGAGGTGTCTTGGTTTCCGAGTGCAAGCAGACCAACTTTCCCAGTATGCTCTTTCAGTCCATGTTGCCAGGAAACCAGTTACCACTGACAACCAGAGAGTGCGAACTATTGAAAAGGTAGAGTGCAATTCAAATATCTATTCTTAACGTGTGTTTATTCTTTATTGTGTCAGTGTTATACGGTATTTGAAAAAAGACGACGAACGTGTGTGTTGTATAGATGATGACTAAATGAAATGAGCGTACGACTATGTAAAGATAATGTGTGTAATATTTGTTTTCATCTTCTTTTAGATTCCACCATCTAGAGAGGTTCTATGCAGACCAGGTGCGAGAGCTTTCTACGTTGTTTCGTTTCCATGCGTCCAGTATCGAGATGAGGAGGATGGAGGTGATGGCTGATACCAGCCTGACATGCCATTACCGAGACTGGCTGAGTCATCATTTTGATACCCAAATACATCAGGTATGTTTCCTGTCAATGTTAGTGGACAAAACGAAGTGTAAAGAAACAACTTATGATATCATTCATACGTGACATATCGACTATCTAACATTAGCTTTTTGTTCTTTCTGCCTTTAGGTGATTGATCGAGTCGAGAAAAGTCTCAGTCTTCTAGAAGAGAAAGAGAAGAAAAGTATGGAGATTCAGATGAACACACTCGTCCCTGGAGTCAAGCGAAGACCACCATTGTCCAAGCGAGCCGTTCAGCTGATGGAGGGCTGGTACCAGTCCAATCTGCACCATCCCTATCCTTCTGCTATCGTATATGAATCTCTCGCTGTTGCTGGTAACGTCACCGTGGAGCAAGTCAAGAAGTGGTTCGGCAACAAACGCAACAGAAACAGCAACACCAGGACAAGATCCGAAATCGCCAAGAGGAAATTCCGTAATCGTCATGGGATTCAGGAGTATCATATCCTCAGGGCTCTTGAGTGTGGTTACTAAATATGTTATTTAACCTATATCTTCGTATATCTACCCATGTGCTGTGTATGATGCTATGATAGTGCTATATCTGTTTGAGTGAATGGTGTATTATGTGTTGTTAATTGTAACATGTGCTTCTTGTGTGAAAGTGTTAATTGCATGTAATACGTGACAGAGTGCTTATTTGTTATGTTTGCTCAAATAATAAACCAGTATCACATCACACATGACTTGTTTTTGATATAACCACGCAACAACGTGAATGCATTGAAGATAAATAATCATATACACCTGACGTTCGAAGACCTATCGACATTATTTGAACTGTTTTGGCCTCCATGCTTCCCGCGAACCAAGAGTTCATGTATTACCCAGATATCATGTCAGAAAATCGTAATACACATTTGAAATGGTTATGTAACATGCATGATACGATTCATGTATGGCACTTCAGTCCATCATGGGAACACAATGACATCATGTTCGTTTTTCACCCTGCACGCTTCTTCTTGGTGTGCATAATATGAAATACAGGCGTGCAATTATAAAGTTTCTTGTCCTTGTCTGGCAATGTAATCAGACGGAAATAATTATTAGCTATTGAATACTTACTTACTTATTTACAGAATGCCACTTCGCCCGAATGTCTTTTAATGCATGTTATACATCTTTATTGCCAGTCGGGCCAATTGCTGATCACTCAGTATGGATTTACGGACTGCATTCATTTTCCAATATCTACATCCTCGCCGATATTGAATGCTTTCATATTATACAATGATATTTTAAAGCATTAAGGTTTGAAATGTAATTTTCTTCATACATCTTGGGGGCCCAGTCGTCTGAGGCGCCGCGATTCGCTGCGTCCCTTGGGTACGCCAGAAACTTTGGTTGTGGGTTCGAATCCCGGTTCGCCCCGATTATGTTTCTAGGTTTGTCAGCACCATACCCGTGCTTGTGGGTTTCACCGAAGAGGTAAACGCTTGAGACCTGCATCACTTCGGGCTTTCCTCCCACATTAAGCTGACACGCCGTGATATAACTGCAATATGTTAAAAGCGGCGTTAAACCCAGCTCAATCGCTCTTTATACAAATTAGTTGTCTGATTACTACCCACTCAATTTAGTCGACATTAGGACGCACACATTAACGACCACATGATACAATGAAAACGAAGTGCAATTTGAGAACAACTATGAATTTACAGAAGACGCTATAACACAAGTTTAATATTGTATTTCTTTTGGAGTTTCTATCTAAATATTAGTTGTGTCCTCACTGTCCCCTGTACAGACTTAACTAGTATCCAGTATAGATCGCCAAGAGGAAATTCAGTAATCGTCATGGGATTCAGGAGTATCATATCCTCAGGGCTCCTGGGTGTGGTTACTAAATATGTTATTTAACTTATATCTTCGTATATATACCCATGTGCTGTGTATGATGCTATAATAGTGCTATATCTGTTTGAGTGAATGGTGTATTATGTGTTGTTAATTGAAACATATGCTTCTTGTGTGAAAGGGAAGTGTTAATTGAATGTAATACGTTATGTTTGCTCAAATAATAAACCAGTGATTTATACTTGACTTTATTTATACATTGAATTACTAAGTGATAATAGAATATTGTCTGTCTGTCAGAGGGAAAAAAATATTATGGAAGACAGCTTATACACACATGAGTAAAAATTGTATGCAGTGTGTGTAAATCTAGCAGATTTAGCACATATCAAATGACTGGCAATTGATAATGACAATACACTCCAACAAACAGAGACAAACACAGAACATGAGTGAGTGAGTGAGTTGGGTTTAACACCGCTTTTAACAGTATTCCAGTCATATCACGGCGTGTCAGCTTAATGTGGGAGGAAAGCCCGAAGTGATGCTTACCGGTGAAACCCACGCGCACGGGTATGGTGCTGACAAACCTAGAAACATAATCAGGCCAACCGGGATTCGAACCCACAATCATAGGTTTCTGGCCTGCCCAAGGGACGTAACTCTGCACAGCGAATCGCGGCGCCTTAGAGGACTGGGCCACCCGTGCCCCCTACACAGAACATGAACATGGCCAAATGGTTTGGAGTGAAAAGTGCAGACTACATGTGCACTGAGCCTTAATGGTGCATACAGGAAATGGGAAGATGGGAAATGAGAAACCGGAACGGCATACGAACAATTGAAAGGCATGATTTTCCGTATTTAGACATTTTGTCTTTACAAAGCAAAATATAACCATGACTCTGAGGTATGCAATTGTGATTTGATATTTCTGATTGACCAATCACAACTAAGTTTTTATAGAGTGATATGGTGCAACTGACAGTTTGAGAGGTGATCAGTCTGAGAGTGCGATTGGAATCAACAGGCATTGTGGCCATTTCTAACAGACAAGAGTGAGTGTATGTTGTTCAACTGCCCGGTTGGCACTATTCCAGCTATAACCACTGGCAACATGAGAAACTTCCTGTTCCTTGCAACATGCAAACAATCAAGTCATTGAGTCTGACCTCCAAATCCAATTTACGACAAGCAATAGAGTGCTGGGGTCCTATTCTAGGCATCCCCATAGCTTACTAACAAACAAGAGATACTTGGGACATCTGATCTGTAGTCTCCTTTTGGACCTCTACTTTGTAGCATGCATGAGCCATACTGGTCGATAAGATAGGATACAGGCTTGACACCCCACCAAGATTCAGAACTGCACATACACTTCAGGTCATTTTGTCTAATGTCTGCTAAGGAACGTTAAAGGCTGGCAATTTTGTCTGAATATCCTGGAGTAGTTTCAGTATTGTCTGTTGATTATGTTTCAATTCCTCAATACTCGTTTCCAATGTTTTCACTCTCTCTTGTAGAATAGGTTCTGATTTCTCAATGTCTACTTCAGTGGCAGCATCTCGCTCAGTCAGGTAGGTTTCTTGCAAAACTTTTAACCTAAAACACACCAAACAAAAAATATTAGCACATATTATTTATCATTACAAACTGGCTTCCACAGCATATATTGGTTGGAAGAGAATTACTTTACAAAGACTTGCAGACGGTAGTGACATCATCGGTTAACATGATTTAATGACATTATTAATCCAGGGTTTTAAGCAACACACAAATTTGCAGAATGGATGCAGTCAAAACAATAACTGCATCCCAAGGGATGCACAATAATATTCACTGTTATAAATTTTTTGACAAAAAATATAAAGTTCCTGTAATTACCATTTTTTGCAGATTCTTACAAAAGATTGCACATCATTTTTTCAATTTATACCTCAATGAACCGAAAAAAATAGTCAATCCTTATATTTAAAATCGACAACAAAAACATGCTTAACAAAAAACAGTTGTATATATCAAAGAAGACAAATATTACGAGATTGATAAACATTTCAGCTGTAGGAATACATACTATGGCATGAAATGAATCAGGTGATATCAGGTTTAATATATGCACATAACTTGACACGCCCACAGAGTCAGTAGCCAATAAATGGAGAATAGGATCAAAACAAAGTTTATTGGACCTGTCAGTCGAGGCAAAAGGTGAGAGGTGAGAAGAACTGCAACAGTCAACGCACCAGAACAAATATGTCCAGGAGAAGGTGGCTGTTTCAAATTACATCGTCAGTTACCGCCAGATTCAAACATAAGTTCCCTAAGAATGGGAAGACAGTTGGAAAAATGCAGGTTAGAAATGAAACCAAGGTGGGCGGCGAAAAACAGGCAGGTGAGCCTGCATGTTTCCTGTTTCATTCCTTCTCAGCCTTCGGTCTCGGTTGTTGGGGCAATGAATATGCACAAATTTCACTAAATGTTCTGAGCATGATGATACATGTGGACCACCTCCGTGGTCTAGTGGTAGAGCGTCCGCCCGGAGAGAGGAAGGTCGGGTGTTCGATCCCTGGCCGCGTCATACCAAAAGACGTTAAAAGATGGTACTTGTTGTTACCCTGTCTGGCGCGTGGCATTAAGGGGCTAAAACAAGGACTGGTTGGCTCGGAGTCAGAATGCTGTGTCTGAGTGGGGTATTCATGTTAAACTGCAGCATGGTATCTCAGTGAGCTAGCACTATAAATCGACATCAGTCCGGACTAGTACAAGCAGCCACACACACACAAACACGTACATGCACGTCGCTATATAAGTTCAACAATCTTGGACGCGACGTTAAACCCCATTTCACCTCACCTCACCGATACATGTGACTGTTATATTGGGATTCCCTGACATTCCGTAGTCAAAAAAGTAGTCCGCCTCGGTGGGTGTGGCTTAATTTTCATTGGGAAATTAATGCAATAACACATGACCATTTCAGCTGAACAGAACGCAGGAATAACAATGAATACAACAAATATTGAATTATTTACATATAACACAATTGACACTCTTGACACTACACCAGAAACAGATATCAAGCCTATGAAACAATTTCACTTGATTTCATTCAGGTCAGATAACAATTAAATCAGGCGGTAAACATCTATTTTCAGTGAAAAGCTAGATTACCTTTAGATAGACACAGATGGGTGAAATTGAATTTGAAATTTTACACAAACACTTTGATGTTTGCGAAGATATTGATTGAAGCTTCATAGGTTGAGTCAAAAGTAGGTGTTGATCTGAATTAAGGAAACACCGGTAACAGCCTTAAAGCAAAGTATGATTCAATATATGCTCAAACATTGTTTTCTATAAAAGCAAAAAGGTTTACTTAGGAGCTGCATGTCACTATTATGATGTTGCGCTGCTTGTTGTGATGCAAAAGTTGGATGAAGAGAAGTGGCAAATTCAATGCACTTTCTTACTAAATTTCATTTTTCATACATATTTTCTATGCAAAAAGAAATGCAAAAGTAGCAAAATCATAAATATCTCACAGAGTGTTCCTGACCAAAATACCAAAAATTATTTGGTCATTTCTGCATGGATTGGGATATATTTATGTGTTAAGAATGAGATGGCGAAGAAATTTGGTGAAAAGATCTAAAAAACACAACCACGTGAGAGCCTGGTGCCAAAACACACAAACTTGACATGCACAAGCACCAGCACTTGTTAGGTTATAAAAGCTTTGGGTTTTCATTTGGACACCATCACAAGTGACAGCAAGTGAACGGCAAAAACCATGCCACGACTGACGGAGGCCCACGCCATCAGCGAATCATCTTCAGCTGTAGCCAGGTTTTTCCACGCAGCACCAACCGCCATTACAAGACCATTATCAGAGACACAGGACAACACGAGATTGCTACTAGAGCAGAGGACAGATTCATACTTGTCAGGTGTCATTTTGACAGACCTGCATTGTTGGCTGCGACGTCAATGGTTTCAAGGTCACAGAGTATCGCCAAAACTTAGTGACGAGTCATGTTTTATGCTTCATCATGCGGATGGTAGACATCTTTTTACAGGTGAGATGAGGTGAAACGGGGTTAAATGTCACGTCCAAAATTATTGCACTTACATGAATATAGAAACGTGCATGCACGTCTGTAAATGTGGATGGCTACTTGTACTAGTCCAGACAGATGCTGATTTATAGTGCTAGCGCACTGAGATACCATGCCGCATTTTAACATGAATACCCTACTCAGACACAGTTTCACGATTCCGAGCCGACCAGTCCTTGTTTTAGCCCCTAAATGCGCCAGACAGGGTAGCAACAAGTACCATCTTTTAACGTCTTTTTGTATGACGCAGCCAGGGATCTATACCCGGACCTTCCACTCTACCACAAGACCACGGAAGGCGATCTCATTTTCAGGCATCACAGGGAACGTCATGCACAAAACAGATGACCTTAACCTTGAAAAACTACTGTTCCAGTTGAGTCTTTGACAATAATGTGTGCCAATTTTGAACAATCGATTCTGTTAATTATTTATATGAAATATGAAATATAAAATATACATCAATAATTTCCTTTGTGTTTCTTTTTTTGCAGAGTACATATCTTAATAACCATAACTCTGCATTCTGTATGATAAATGACCAAATCATTATTTCAAAATACCAGGCAATGAATGCTTTTCTATAACATCAGCTCCCACAGTGATGCAGTCATCATATCAGCTGTTCCTATCAGGAAGTGGTAAGTGTGATTTGAAACCTTAGACTGACCAATCAGAATTGAGCATTGGAGAAGAGTGAGTGAGTGAGTGAGTATGGTTTTACGCCGCTTTTAGCAATATTCCAGCAAAATCACGGCGGGGGACACCAGAAATGGGCTTCACACATTGTACCAATGTCGGGAATCGAACCCGGGTCTTCGGTGTGATGAGCCAACGCTTTAACCACTAGGCTACCCGACCGCCCCATTGGAGAAGAAGGGCTACAAGTGTTGGTACAGCCTCCATGATATCACCTACTGGGCAACCTCCTCACTGAGGTGTTGCAGGGCCATGGCTGATGTCTGCTGACTGGTCCTATTGGACCTTCCCATCTTGGACATCTCCTTACAGAGCTCCTCAGTCCTGAAAAAACAAAAGTGGAGCCACAACATTTTAGAGATTACCTTTCTGTACATTCAATTAATACAGAAATTTCACTTTAATTTCAGAAAATTAAGTACAATGTATCTAAAATATATCAATCACACACCAAACAAATTTTTCTATGGAAGAAAATATCACATTTATTTTATTGTAGTGTGCTAAGTTTCACAAATTTATAAATAATGTGCAAATATACTCTTTTCCCTCTATTCCTTATGGGGGCGGTCGGGTAGCCTAGTGGTTAAAGTGTTCGCTCGTCACGTCGAAGACCCGGGTTCGATTTCCGACATGGGTAAAGTGTGTGAAGCCCATTTCTGGTGTCCCCCCCATGATATAGCTGGAATATTGCTAAAACCGGCGTAAAACCATACTCACTCACTCACTCACTCTATTCCTTATGTCATATATTGATGACATTATACAGTTCTATGATTTCATGAACCAGAATAAAAATAGTGCAGTAGCACTGTTTATGTTGTCAATGGTTGAAAATGTCAACAGTTTTCAAAACCAAAGACAGCCACTGAACACTAGTTGCGATCAGGGATCGGGTGGTCAGGCTTGCTTACTTGGTTGATGCATGTCATCGTATCCCACTTTCGTAGATCGATGTTCATAACGTAAATCACTGGATTGTCTGGCTCAGACTTAATTATTTATAGACCACCATCATGTAGCTGGAATATTGCTCAGTGCGGCATTAAACAACAGGTAAACAAACACCTGTACACACGTTACACCCCTGTTCTAACCCCTGTAGTACAACATCCTCACAGGGAGTCTACACCTTCCCTCACCTCTGTAGTACAACAACCTCACAGGGAGTCTACACCTTCCCTCACCTCTGTAGTACAACAACCTCACAGGGAGTCTACACCTTCCCTCACCTCTGTAGTACAACAACCTCACAGGGAGTCTACACCTTCCCTCACCTCTGTAGTACAACAACCTCACAGGGAGTCTACACCTTCCTTCACCTCTGTAGTACAACAACCTCACAGGGAGTCTACACCTTCCCTCACCTCTGTAGTACAACATCCTCACAGGGAGTCTACACCTTCCCTCACCTCTGTAGTACAACAACCTCACGGGGAGTCTACAACTTCCCTCACCTCTGTAGTACAACATCCTAACAGGGAGTCTACACCTTCCCTCACCTCTGTAGTACAACAACCTCACTGGGAGTCTACACCTTCCCTCACCTCTGTAGTACAACATCCTAACAGGGAGTCTACACCTTCCCTCACCTCTGTAGTACAACATCCTCACAGGGAGTCTACACCTTCCCTCACCTCTGTAGTACAACATCCTAACAGGGAGTCTACACCTTCCCTCACCTCTGTAGTACAACAACCTCACTGGGAGTCTACACCTTCCCTCACCTCTGTAGTACAACATCCTCACAGGGAGTCTACACCTTCCCTCACCTCTGTAGTACAACATCCTCACAGGGAGTCTACACCTTCCCTCACCTCTGTAGTACAACATCCTCACAGGGAGTCTACACCTTCCCTCACCTCTGTAGTACAACAACCTCACGGGGAGTCTACACCTTCCCTCACCTATGTAGTACAACATCCTCACGGGGAGTCATGGCCAGGATGTTGGCAGCGATGTCCTTCTCCATCTTCCGAAAGGCCTCAGACTCTGTTTGACAGTAAACAACTTAATGACATGTCTGTTGCGGAAGTGGAACAGCCTTATCCTCACTTGTGGCACCACTGTGACAAGCCTACACAAAGTGACATTAGCTTCAAATGATGATTTACTTGGGAACATAAAATTGAAGGGACAATTTCCGAAGAATCTTTTGGATAACTACGATCCAAAATGCGGTTTTGTGAGAAAGATATATATTATTTTGATTTCTAAATATGTGACAAAGGCCGTTGTTTTAGAAACAATGCATATTAAGTCATTTTTATAACAGATTGGTGGGGCCTACAAGTACAGGTATGTGCTGACATTTTCCAATGGTGGAGCCTACTAGACCACTAGACCATTGAGGCGGTCTCCGAGCATACACTCTACCACAAGACCACGGAGGGGCTCTCCAGGCAGTCATTCTACCATTAGACCAGGGGCGCTCTCCTGGCAGACGTTCTACCACAGGACCACGGTGGCACTCTCCAGGCCGACAGTTCTACCACTGGACCACAGAGGGGCTCTCCGGACCAACGCTCTACCACAAGACCACAGAGGAGCTCTCCAGGCAGATGTTCTACCACAGGACCACGGAAGAGCTCTCCGGACAGATGTTCTACCACTAGACCACAGAGGTGCTCTCAGGGCAGATATTCTACCACTAGACCACAGAGGTGCTCTCCAGGCGGATGTTCTACCACTAGACCACAGAGGAGCTCTCCGGGCAGATGTTCTACCACCAGAACACAGAGGAGCTCTCCGGGCAGATGTTCTACCACTAGACCACAGAGGAGCTCTCCAGACAGATGTTCTACCACAGGACCATGGAAGAGCTCTCCAGGCAGATGTTCTACCACTGGACCACAGAGGAGCTCTCCAGACAGATGTTCTACCACTGGACCACAGAGGAGCTCTCAAGGCAGATGTTCTACCACTGGACCACAGAGGTGCTCTCCAGGCAGATGTTCTACCACTGGACCACAGAGGAGCTCTCCAGGCAGATGTTCTACCACTGGACCACAGAGGAGCTCTCCAGACAGATGTTCTACCACAGGACTATGGAAGAGCTCTCCGGGCAGACGCTTTACCCTTAGACCACAAAGGTGCTCTTCAGGCCATCGCTATTCCACTAGACCACGGAGGAGGTCCTCAGACGAGAGCTCCTAAAAGGAGATAAAACTGCTTATCTATCTGCTGGCTATCCAGAGCCAAATGATACAATGCCAATCCAGGAGATAGGTAAGGATTTCATCAAAATGGTTAGACCAACTAATGAATGGTGAAATTTCAGAAGCGATTAAATGTGGGGATGGGAGAGTCAGCAAAGAACAGTAGCAACTTCAAGTAAAGGCCTCTCTGGCTCGTTATTGAACTCCCTATCTCTGGAGGCAGTATGTGTGTATGGAAATGATTGACTTGACAGTTCATCGAGGTAGACAGGACAAGGAACTGGTTCCTTCATTTGAAGTCTCAAAGGAGGTGCATTGCAGCTGCTGGACACATGTACACTAAATCTGTATACCGTATTCGACGTAATAAGCGCCCGGGGAACTCTTAAAATGAGAAATAGGCGGCTCTTATTAGAATATGATTTTGGTGAAAGAGTTGACAGATTGTAAATTTTGTGGTTTATGCTTACAGCCTGAAATGATACAAAAGAAAAGTCTGTGCGTATTACACACAACAGATATATTTTTCCAGAATTTAATTGCCCGTAATTAAGGGTGCAAATAACACATGAGAAATAAATAAGTCTTGTGTACATTGATCAATCGGAAGGGGTGCTAATTGGGATTGTTCACTAGCCAATATATATTAGCAAATATCGGCGTGGGCGCTTATTAGAGCGGGGCGCTTATTACGTCGAATATGGTATATCCATTTACAGCAAATGATTCAGCTTGAAACATGCAAAGCAGATGTCTGTTTTGCTGTGCTGAAATACTAGATATATCACATGGTGGCACATGGTCCTGTGCTCCTGTGCACAGCGCATGGGTCACAAAGCAGGTGAGCTAAGCATCGTTGGCAGTGGAGGGTCATTGGATGGGTGCTCAGCAGCTAAGCTCCTGGCATTTTCTAGTTTCTTCGGTCCTGCCCCACACTGAAGCACATGTAACATGTCTGGTGTCTCCTTCGGCAAGTGACTTTTTTCTAAATACATGTATGCCTCTGTTCGCCAAGCAGTAAAGGGGTACCCAGTAGGATGAGGACACAATCCTGCTGTATACTCCCAAGGGAGTTGAGAATGAAATTCGAGTGCACAATGATCCACTTTGTGTAAATCTTAGTTGTAAATCTAGAAACGTTTCTCATTCTCCATCTACATTTCTCGTATAGCATTTAACAGTATCCAGCTAATCAATACAACTGAAATAATTTCTTCAACAATTAACAGTTGGGACATCTTCATGGTAAACTGCCTGGACCGAGCACCAGCCTATAAAGCCACCCATGCTCTTTTGGGCCTGAAATACACATGTAATACCACATATATGTGACCACTGGCATGTCGTAGTGTAGAGGGTGGGAATGTTTTATGCATTAAATAAACATACTTTGGAGCATGTTAAGCCCTAAAAAAGAATTTTACCTGTAGACAAAAATTTCCTTTGTAAAAAAGGTGCAATAAACCTTGACCAAGGACAATTTTTAATCAATTATTTTGCATTTTTATCAAAATTTACGTATATTTATTTCCATTACAAAGAAATAAGCATCATCACTTACAATACAACCTATTATGCTCATTGGAAATAATAAAAAAATCACAAAAGTGCATGCACTTCATTCTGCAAATTGACCTTCACATCATGACTAGCTCCCATCAATAATCACAGAATCATAAAAGTCAAAATGGTGGCCAAAGGAAGCATACACGTCATTATCAAATTCTGTAATAAACATACTTACTATCATTGTCTGTTTGTATGTTCATAATGCCCAGGTGATCCCAGGTGTCCACAATGCCAGACTGACCAACACAGCCACCGAAACTTTCAAACTGATACTCAGTCCAGGGATGGAGATTACCCACAATGCATGACCTTGTCGGAAACAAGGTCAATGTCAGCTGAGGATTCTTATCTGAAATATCTGCAGGAACCATGGTATAATTACAGATTTCAACTGCTTTGCCTTTGGGATGGAAATGAGGTTACAGTCCTTTACTCACCAAAATCCATTTGTAAGAATTATCAGTCTCAAAAAACACAATGGTGTAATCAGAGCTCCAGATAAGGTGTGTATCTGCGTAAAATACGCATCAGAAATGCAGAAATACGCAGTAAAATAAAATCCAAGTGTATCAAATATGCAACGAACATTACAGATACGCTACAAAAATAAAACGTGCATATCATCAAAATATTGTGAAGTAACCCTGCGCATTCGATTAGCAAATCAGCAACTTATTTTGAAATTATAAACGGGCATTCCGTCAACCTTGCCAAACTCCACGATGACAGTTACATCATGATCATTTGCCATCACACTTTCTTGTGGAAGTATCGTGGTATTTTTGAGTCCTATAAAGCTCTCGAACCTACACGACACCAGTTTGCAGGGACTAGATGAATAGTGTTTTAAAACATTTAACTTAAATACCCATATGTGGAAAAACTAGTGGGTAACAGAAATTCGAATACCCAGATAGAATTACGATACCCAATGATTTTAAAATGCATGGGTAAAATACCCACAACACCAAAAGCTTATCTGGAGCTCTGGTGTAATGTCACATTACTATATTGGCTGCATTATTTACATACACAATATATTACCTGCGAGAGCAAACATACCGGGGTTCATAAAAATCACACGTGCCCTAGGGTCATATCACATCATGAGACAACAGTGTGTTGTTTCCGTTATCCAGATGGCATTCTTGACGTCATTCGAATCTTACTGTGACGTGAGGTCAGAATGATGTCACACTGGAAACGACGTCACAGCTGAAGATTGTTGACATCATTCAACAAACTGTGGTTCCAGTGGTGTTTACGACATTCATAGTAAGCATAGTATGACATGAACGCTCATATAATATCCTCTATTTATTATTCAATAAGGTATGTCAGGCTGACAGCAATATTGGGATTTTTCTTTTGTCTGATGCTTAATATCTGTGCACAGTAGGATATAAATGCAATACTTTCATATTTGTTTTCCTGTGTCACATAACTCTAATAAACTTAAAATACATAACAGAGCCACAAGCTTCCGAAGCTCACTTGAAACATGAAAAAAATACTGGCGGCCTTCTTAGGTGAGGTGAAATGGGATTTAACGTTGCGTTCAAGATTATTGCACTTATATAGCAACGTGCATGCACATGTGTGTGTGTGTATGGCTGCTTGTACTAGTCCAGACTGATGCTGATTCATAGTGCTAGCACACTGAGATGCCAGGCCACAGTTTAACATGAATACCCCATTCAGACACAGTATACTGACTCTGAGCCGACCAGTCCTTGTTTTAGCCCCTTAATGTCGAGCGCAAGACAGGGTAACAACAAGTACCATCTTTTAACGTCTTTCGGTATGACGCGGCCGGGGATCGAACCCAGGACCTTCTGCTCTCCAGGCGGACGCTCTACCTCTAGACCACAGAGGTGGTCGGCGGCTTTTGGAAAATGAGCCATTTTTAGAGACACCACTCTCCTTCCCCATACATCAACTTGTATCTGTACATCCATATCCCGACCTGTGAAGATTCCGTGGTAGAATAGGTCTTCAGCAACCCATGCTTGCCGTAAAAGGCAAACTATGCTTGTCGTAAAAGGCGACTAACGGGAACGGGTGGTCAGGCTCGCTGACTTGGTTTGATGCACGTCATCGATCCCAATTGCGTGGATCAATGCTCATGATATCAATCACTGGGTTGTCTGGTCCAGACTCGATTTTTTACAGACCGCCGTCATATAGCTGGAATATTGCTGAGTGCGGGGTAAAACAACAAACCAAACCAAAACTTCCTCATCCCTCAGTACCTATGTGCTGCATGCCTGACACACCTACAGGACACGCCCTTGACTCCACCCTTCCCTCCTGCCAACACTCACCACTCTCCTTCCTCCAATATGTCAGCTTGTATCTCTTATAGCTGTACAGCTGGTCCACATCCCACAGGATCTCCACACTACATGCCTGGACCCGCCCAAAGGACACGCCTTTGTAATCATCTGGAAACACAAGCTTTTTTGACAACTAGTTTACACTGAATGACCTTGACCTTCAAGGTCATCCAATCGTGAATCAGAAAAATTACCCGGGGTTACACAGGAGGTATATCAGGAATAAAGTCTGTCATGAGCGTTTGGTTGTGAAAACAAGTTTTTTAAGTCCTTTCAAGCACAGAAAACACGTCAATAAGACCGCCTTTAAGAAGCCCCCCTTTACAGGTCACTGCATAAATACCTGTGACCAGGATTTAATTCAGTGGTTCTAATTCAGAATTTATACACAGAAAGGCTTAAATATAGTGATGAGGGTCTGCAGCTCACCTGCACTTATAATATATTGAACGTGAAAAGTGAGTGAATTTTGTATCCTTTTTACCAATATTTCAGCAATATCATGGTGGGAGGTGCCAAAATGAGGCTTCACATGGTACCATGTAGGAAATCAAACCTAGTACTTTGTCATGACACACCAGGGCCCACTTGCACTTAGCAATCTTAGCGAAAAATGATCGTGTTTTACTCCCATACTTTAACATAGGTTTACGATAATCTTAGATGGCTTTGTGCAAGTGGGCCCTGGACTTAAGCCATTTGGCTACAATACCACCTGCTCATTGGGCAGAGAGTCATCCATGTATAGTTCTTCTGAACACAAACTTCAGTTCCACAAAGCTACCGTAGCACTAGACTGATCGTAACTTTCATACTTTAACATAGACTTATGACAGTCGTAGCACTAAGGTGATCGTCACTCTCGTACTTTAACATAGACTTATGACAGTCGTAGCTCTAAGGTGATCGTAACTCTCATACTTTAACATAGACTAATGACAGTCGTAGCTCTAAGGTGATCGTAAGTCTCATACTTTAACATAGACTTATGACAGTCGTAGCACTAAGGTGATCGTAAGTCTCATACTTTAACATAGACTTATGACAGTCGTAGCACTAAGGTGATCGTAACTCTCATACTTTAACATAGACTTATGACAGTCGTAGCACTAAGGTGATCGTAAGTCTCATACTTTAACATAGACTTATGACAGTCGTAGCACTAAGGTGATCGTAACTCTCATACTTTAACATAGACTTATGACAGTCGTAGCACTAAGGTGATCGTAAGTCTCATACTTTAACATAGACTTATGACAGTCGTAGCACTAAGGTGATCGTAAGTCTCATACTTTAACATAGACTTATGACTGTCGTTGCACTATGATTGAGGAACAGGGCCCTCGATGTAACGTTATCATGATTTTAATCCTCTAGTGAGGTGAGGTGAAATGGGATTTAACGTCGCGTCAAGGATTAATGCACTTATATAGCGAAGTGCATGTACATGTGTGTGTTTGTGTGGCCGATTAATAGTGCTAGCTCACTGAGACACCATGCCGCAGTTTAACATGAATACCCCACTCAGACACAGTATACTGACTCCAAGCCGAACAGTCCTTGTTTTAGCCCCTTAATGCCGCGTGCCAGACAGGGTAACAACAAGTACCAACTTTTAATGTCTTTTGGTATGACGCGTCTGGGGATCGAACCCCGGACCTTCCGCTCCCCTCGTGGACGCTCTACCACTAGACCAGTCATTTTCATCCTGATGACATTTCCTGTCTTTCATAACAGCTCATGAGAATTGTGACCAAGAGGTCTTGTGAGTATCACAAAGAAGATACAAGAATGGGTGCCCACCAAGAACAATGAACTCTTAGCCTTATAGGGGGCACGGGTGGCCCAGTCGTCTAAGGCGCCGTGATTCGCTGTGCAGAGTTGCGTCCCTTGGTCATCCAGAAACCTATGATTGTGGGTTCGAATCCCGGTTCGCCCCGATTATGTTTTCTAGGTTTGTCAGCACCATACCCATGCTCCTGGGTTTCACCGATGTGGTAAACATCTAAGACCTGCATCACTTCGGGCTTTCCTCCCACATTAAGCAGGCACACCGTGATGTAACTGGAATACTGTTAAAAGCGGTGTTAAACCCCAACTCACTCACTCACTTAACCTTATAGGCTAATTATTAGATTTCTTCCAGAGGACCTGCTTCTTTGTTTGTTGGCCTGGACAGCCATCATGGATACCTGGACGGACACCATGGAAACCTGGACGGACACCATGGATACCTGGACAGCCATCATGGATACCTGGACAACCACCATGGATACCTGGACGAGAACATGGATACCTGGACAGCCATCATGGATACCTGGACAGCCACCATGGATACCTGGACAGCCATCATGGATACCTGGACGGACACCATGGAAACCTGGACAGCCACCATGGAAACCTGGACAGCCACCATGGATACCTGGACAGCCACCATGGATACCTGGACAGCCACCATGGATACCTGGACGGACACCATGGATACCTGGACAGACACCATGGATACTTGGACGGACACCATGGAAACCTGGACAGCCACCATGGAAACCTGGACAGCCACCATGGATACCTGGACAGCCATCATGGATACCTGGACGGACACCATGGATACCTGGACAGCCACCATGGATACCTGGACAGCCATCATGGATACCTGGACAACTATCATGGATACCTGGACGGACACCATGGATACCTGGACAGCCATGAGATAATATAATGAAACACAACAATGTGGTCATCTCATTCAAAGAGTTTGGAGATGGACTTCAGCACCAAAACAAATCTTTTCTGATTTTAAGTTCAATATGATTATGCATTCGCAAAGTGTTTCAGTTTATGAAAATCTTGAAATCTCACCTTCACTGCGAAGTGGAATTGCACTATCTTCATGACTCCTCGTCTGGTGTCCGTGGCAACAAGATTGCCTGCAGCACTTGCTACACACAGCTCTTACTGCTCGAACAGATGACATTAGAAGCCAGACAAGGAGGTGGATGACATTAAATGGTGGCGGCAGCCAGGGCCGTGTGTAAAACTCGTGGATGATCTGACACCTGTGCCACGCCCAAATCTTACTTGCCTCTTCCTGAACCTTACTAAACGTATAACTGAAATACATGAAACAATATATCAAAAACACAATATCCTGTTAAAAATGGAGCACGTCTATTAAGCTCATTCAGCATTGCAGACTGTGTAGGTCATAAAGTTTAAATATAAATTCAGTACTTTCAGTAGAAAGTTTGTTGGTTGGTTGGTTTGTTGTTTAACACCGCACTCAGCAATATTCCAGCTATATGACGGCGGTCTGTAAATAATCGTGTCTGGACCAGACAATCCAGTGATTAATATCATGAGCATCGATCCACGCAATTCGGACCGATGACATGCATCAACCAAGTCAGCGAGCCTGACCACCCGTTCCCGTTAGTCGCCTTTTACGACAAGCAAAGTCGGCTTTTACGGCAAGCATGGGTTGCTGAAGACCTATTCTACCCTGGATCTTCACGGGTCTTCAGTAGAAAGAATGGGGCAGCCCCCTTTTGGTACCCAGGATTCAGGTCAAACTTCGTTGCCAGATTACATTTAAAAAATAATGATATGAATGTAAAACATTGTGTCATATTTTTATGTTTATAACTCCATAAATGCATAACATATGGAAGTCAATTCTTGTAAAAAAATATGCCATGAATAACGAGGAAACAGAGTTATCATTAGTTTGTAACACAAAAACGCTGCAGACAACAATATGAACTCAGTGAGATCGTTCAGTGCGATAATGGAACACAAGCCCTGCCCATTTTATTTTCAGCCAATCAGGAAACAGTGTTCTGTTAGTGGGCATGGCCAAACTATTTTATTAGTTAATGGAAACATAAACGCAAAAACTATTCCTTGGATAGCCAATCAAATGTCACAAAATCACTCGCAATCCATTTACAGCATTTTATTTGATGTATTTCTAGACAGCTGCAAGTAATGTTCACGTGTCAAATTTACAAAGTGAACACTTTGTTTGCTTGGGTGCGCTGGTGTTATGTCGGTGTACCTATGGAAATCTAGAATTATCAGACAAAATACAAAAAACATGATGCAAAACATGCTCAAATTGACATCAAAGCAGATAGGGTTCTCTGTGATAATATTGGCATGCTCCCTGTGTTAGTGAGCTGAAATGGGGTTTAAATTCGCATCCAAGATTGTTGTACCTACAGTCAAGTCATCAAAGCAGATAGGGTTCTCTGTGATAATATTGGCATGCTCCCTGTGTTAGTGAGCCGAAATGGGGTTTAAATTCGCATCCAAGATTGTTGTACCTACAGTCAAGTCTTGTTAATCTGACACTCGTTAATCCGACAATCGGCTTTATCCGACACTAATGATAGCAACCGATAAATCAGTGCTATTTAGACCCATTAATCTGACAGTCTCACACTCCGACTCCGACACACCTAATTTGCATCAATTACTGAAATTACTCATTAATCAGTCGCGTTTATCCGACACAGTGATCAGCGTACTCCATGGTCATCTGCCCGTGAGTACACAGCCCGTGTTTTGATGCGAGACGAGTCGGCTGGTAGCTGCATATTACAACGGCTGTAGAGATAAACTTGCTGAACAATATACAATGAACAATTAGTGTTTGTATCGTTATCTATCGTGTAGTTGTCAGATTTTTTATCACGAACGTTGATACTCAATTTCGCGTGTTCGACATACTAGTTAATCCAACATAATCATATGCAACCAACCATGTCGGATTAACAGGACTTGACTGTATATGGCGATGAGTGTGTGTGTGTGTGTGTGTGTGTGTGTGTGTGTGTGTGTGTGTGTGTGTGTGTGTGTGTGTGTGTGTGTGTGTGTGTGTGTGTGTGTGTGCTTGTACTAGTCCGGGCTGATGCCGAATTTTGTGCTAGCCCACTGAGATACCATGTCGCCGTTTAACATGAATACCCCACTCAGACACAGTATACTGACTCCGAGCCGACCAGTCCTTGTTTTAGCCCCTTAATGCCAAGTGCCAGACAGGGTAACAACAAGTACCATCTTTTAACGTCTTTTGGTATGACGCAGATGGGGATTGAACGCCAGACATTCCACCCTACGGGTGGACGCTCTACCACTAGTCCACAGAGGTGGCCCCCGGTGTTAGTGAGAACAGTTACAAAACTCCCCAAATTCAAGGACTTGTAAAGGCTCCCTCACCAAAACTGAAGGCCATGCAACTTAAATGTTGAGGCAAAAATGTCACACGTCACCTAGCGACTACAATGCTTTCATTTGCATATAAAAATGTGGTACATTTCAAGATACATATATATTTACAAGGCCTTTTATCATCCCAAACTGGCTCCCACAGGAGATATCCTTGGGTAAGACCAAGCAGTATCTAAATTGTAGATATCGCTGCAGTGGAATTGCATCACAATGCTTTGCAGACCATTGTGATGTCATTGGTTACTATGACATCACAATCAAATGACATCACTAATGGCTCTGCTACTGAAGCTGTTAACAGTACTTTTTACACTTAAGACACTGCTAATTACTGTCTACAAACTGAAAAAGTAGGAAGAATGATGTTGGATGATAAATAAAATCTCTCCCTCTTGTCTTTTGATATCAAATATATCAACACTCGTTGATAAATATCTCCTCTTTTATCAACGAGTGTTGATATATTTGATATCAAAATACACTCAGGTGAGATTCTCTATCTACAAACTGAAAAAGTAGGAAGAATGATGTTGAATGATAAATAGAAGCTCACCCTTTTGTTTTTTAATATCAAATATATCAACACTCGTTGATAAATATCTCCAGTTTTATCAACGAGTGTTGATATATTTGATATCAAAATACACTCGGTGAGATTATCTATTTAGATGATATCTCAGCCTGTGTGAATGTTTATGAAGGAATTAGGCTCACTTGAATTTTGCAATGAGTATATTTAGGAGAAGCACATGTGTGATGATGGCATAGACAGCAAGGAAGCCCTCCACAATGTACTGGGAAATTTCAGGCTGTCTGCTGGAGGTCTTGTTGACGATGTCTGAAAACATGCACAGGAAACAACAACAAAAACAAAAACAAACAACAACAAAACATAAAAACAAAAACAAACAACAATAAAACAAACAACAACAAAACAAACAACAGTGGAACCTAGGGATGTGAGGATTCACCAATACATCAATGCATCGATAATATTCTCAAATGATATGAAATGCAATACACACTCGCCTGTATTGATTCATATCTTAATCCTGTATCCTTTCACACATTGACCCATTCATTTATATTTAATATATTTGATTTCGGAAACACATCTAAGGTATTTTTTTGCTATTTCATATGATAATAGAAAAAAAAGCCCGATGTCATGTTAGGATGTGATGTCTGAACCTCGATGTCATGTTGGGGTGAGATGTCTGAACCTAGATGTCATGTTGGGGAAGGATGTGATGTCTGAACCTAGATGTCATGTTGGGGAAGGATGTGATTTCTGAACCTAGATGTCATGTTGGGGTGAGGTGTCTGAACCTAGATGTCATGTTGGGGTAGGATGTGATGTCTGAACCGAGATGTCATGCTGGGGTGAGGTGTCTGAACCGAGATGTCATGTTGGGGTAGGATGTGATGTCTGAACCTAGATGTCATGTTGGGGAAGGATGTGATTTCTGAACCTAGATGTCATGTTGGGGTGAGGCTTCTGAACCTAGATTTCATGTTGGGGTGAGATGTCTGTACCGAGATGTCATTTTGGGGTGAGATGTGATGTCTGAACCTAGATGTCATGTTTGGGAAGGATGTGATGTCTGAACCTAGATGTCATGTTGGGGTGAGGTGTCTGAACCTAGATTTCATGGTGGGGTGAGATGTCTGTACCGAAATGTTATGTTGGGGTAGGATGTGATGTCTGAACCTAGATGTCATGTTGGGGAAGGATGTGATTTCTGAACCTAGATGTCATGTTGGGGTGAGGTGTCTGAACCTAGATGTCATGTTGGGGTAGGATGTGATGTCTGAACCTAGATGTCATGCTGGGGTGAGGTGTCTGAACCTAGATGTCATGTTGGGGTAGGATGTGATGTCTGAACCTAGATGTCATGTTGGGGAAGGATGTGATTTCTGAACCTAGATGCCATGTTGGGGTGAGGTGTCTGAACCTAGATTTCATGGTGGGGTGAGATGTCTGTACCGAGATGTCATGTTGGGGTGAGATGTGATGTCTGAACCTAGATGTCATGTTGGGATGGGATGTGATGTCTGAACCTAGATGTCATGTTGAGGTGGAATGTGATGTCTGAACCGAGATGACATGTTGGGGTGAGGTGTCTGAACCTAGATGTCATGTTGGGGTAGGATGTGATGTCTGAACCTAGATGTCATGTTGAGGTGGGATGTGATGTCTGAACCGAGATGTCATGTTGAGGTGGGATGTGATGTCTGAACCGAGATGTCATGTTGGGATGGGATGTGATGTCTCAACCTAGATGTCATGTTGGGGAAGGATGTGATTTCTGAACCTAGATGTCATGTTGGGGTGAGGCGTCTGAACCTAGATTTCATGGTGGGGTGAGATGTGTGTACCGAGATGTCATGTTGGGGTGAGATGTGATGTCTGAACCTAGATGTCATTTTGGGATGGGATGTGATGTCTGAACCTAGATGTCATGTTGGGGAAGGATGTGATTTCTGAACCTAGATGCCATGTTGGGGTGAGGCGTGTGAACCTAGATTTCATGGTGGGGTGAGATGTCTGTACCGAGATGTCATGCTGGGGTGAGATGTCTGTACCGAGATGTCATGTCGGGCTAGGCTGGATGTCTGAACCTAGATGTCATGTTGGGGAAGGATGTGATTTCTGAACCTAGATGTCATGTTGGGGTGAGGCGTCTGAACCTAGATTTCATGGTGGGGTGAGATGTCCGTACCGAGATGTCATGTTGGGGTGAGATGTGATGTCTGAACCTAGATGTCATGTTGGGGTGAGATGTGATGTCTGAACCTAGATGTCATGTTGCGGTGGGATGTGATGTCTGAACCGAGATGTCATGTTGGGGTGAGGTGTCTGAACCTAGATGTCATGTTGGGGTAGGATGTGATGTCTGAACCTTGATGTCATGTTGGGGTGAGGTGTCTGAACCTAGATGTCATGTTGGGGTGGGATGTGATGTCTGAACCTAGATGTCATGTTAGGATGTGATGTCTGAACCGAGATGTCATTTTGGGGAAGGATGTGATGTCTCAACCTAGATGTCATGTTGAGGTAGGATGTTATGTCTGAACCGAGATGTCATATTGGGGTGAGGTGTCTGAACCTCGATGGCATGTTGGGATGGGATGTGATGTCTGAACCAAGATGTCATGTTGGGATGTGATGTGATGTCTGAACCTTGATGTCATGTTGGGGTGAGATGTCTGAACCTAGATGTCATGTTGGGGTTGGATGTGCTGTGTGAATCTTGATATTATATTTTGTACCATGGTGTAGTTGTTGCGCAATGCCATCTCAACTTTGTAATGTAGACCCATCAGGCTGTATGGAAGGAGATCACTGAAGCCATGCATCTCTACAACATCTGCATGGCACATGAGAGCTGTGATAGGACTTGGAAAGTTGTGTGCAATTGTGATGATTACCTGTGTCCTGAAGGTCATCAAGGAAGAACTCTCCGTAGATCTGCCAATAGGCTCGATGAGGAACATCATATAGGAGGCGCCACTCAGCAGAAGCTTGTGGAAACAGAACCGAATGGGAGACAACTCCGTATGAGAAGACAAACACCAGGAGGATTGTCATAAATGATGCAGTATCACTAATCTGAAAAACAAATCAGAATCATCCTTTAAGTAGGCATCGCCTTTAACCATGTACAACAGTGCACTGATGCATCATCACCATGGCAAGGGCTGCTTCCCAACAAGGGAACAATGCTGCTGAAGTAACCAATCATGCATCTTTCCGAGGCAAGAGAGTTAACTGGCTTTAAAAGTCAAGTTTCCACCCTTGCCGAACTAGGCTGGAATTCCTGGGCTCGATCGTAGCGCCACCAGTGGCTATTACCTGTTATGTCCCTTCTAAACCTCTCCTAAGGACCAATCAGATTCCACCGTTCGTATCACTTGCGTTTGCTTCACACAAAATGGTGAAGCACAATCAGGACGATCTGATCGATAATCAAGTTCTATAATTCAAGTTTCGATTTCGGTGCGTGATTTTGATTGGACTATGCAAAGACTCGTTAGTCCAGCCAAAATGTCACTCCATAATACCAGCCTAGTTCGGCAAGGGTGGAAACTGGACTTGTATAGTCAGTTTACTCTCTTGCCTCGGGAAGATGCCAATCATGGTCAAGCAAAATGTTATTTCTTAGGGTAAAAATTAGGAGATAAACATACTGTGTTTTCAATGTAGAGCTAGGTTACCTGTAGATTTAACCCCGCTAAATTGAATTTGGAACCGAACGCGCAGCGTGAGGTTTCAAATGTTAAATTTAGCGGGGTTAAATCTACAGGTAACCTAGCTCTATATTGAAAACACAGTATGTTTATCTCCATTTTACCATGACTAAATAAAATACGAACTCTTTGGTGTTAGCAAATATACTGAGTGAAGCGGCATGGGTTGAGTTCAGTGTTTTGAGTGGGTTATCGATCTGAATTACAGAATCACCGAACAAAATATGGTGTTGTATATACTCAAGCAGTTTGTTTACACCGTTATACTTCACTCGAACATATGACAGGCATTGAAAGCATATAGGCACAGCAACTTGGTAAGCTAACATGAGGTAGGCATCCCTAAAGAAAACAAAGCAAGTTTTGCAAGGCTTTCGCTCTACATGCTATTATGACGTCATATCGCTCATTGTGACGTAAAAGATATGACGTCACAGTCGTATATAGAAAAGCGCCAAAATTCCAAGCTTTCTGTTGTCTCCAAAACGTAAATACATTCCCTTTGTTGATTTCTGTCGTGTATTTCTGCACGAAATGTATTGCCACACATCCTTTGAATATTGTAGTAACCGCATCTGTGCATTTTCTAACCTGTAATTGTAGATATAGTTATTTAAATATGCCTACCGACAATGACTGAAAATAGTACTATTCTATGAATATTAGCTTCCGCGGTGATGCGGCCGTCAAACCAGCTGTTTCAATCAGAGGGGGTTTATTGTGATTTAATAGCCTCTGATTGACCAATCAGAATCGAGTAAATTCCAAATTCATGGTAGAATATCATTTAAACTTATCCAAAATTATACTAATTGCTTATCTCATCTCATTCCTAAAAGGCAGATGAAACTCCTGTGCTGTGTTCCCAAGAACAGAGAGAAACATCACACCCGATCACATCCTTCAGGCGTGCAGCTGTACTGGGAGCATGTGACCAAGCCTGTATAATCGTATACCGTATACTGGAAGCGGGGATGGCTTGGTGGGCACTACAGCATATGATTCAGGATAAGTACAAAGGATATTTTTACCCTAAAAAATACATATTTTACCTTATGCCAACTCATACTAATTGCTTGAATCCCATGGTTGGTGGTGGGATCCATCGTGTGCGTGATTCAGATCATGATCTGTTCAATTAACCCCATGGGAATGTCTTCTTAATGTTCTTGGACATCAATCTGTAGTGGGGCACCACCTCCATACTTGTGAGAGTAGGAAAAACAAGAGATTTCAGGGATTTTGTAAGTGCACATAGAATCATATTCCAGCGTACTTAGAACAATTCTCGCATTAAGAAAAGGTCATGATTTTGACACAATCGTAATCACTCATGTTCTGCATTACCCTCAGTCAGTGGTTATGAATCGGAAACCTGACTTCTAAGAGTCTGTATGATTTTTTGGTGAGTTTGATTTTGGTTATCTTCCAATAGGTACTGTCAATTGTTGTGCGACCACTGAAGGTCCAAATTGGTGAATCCCTTCAGTATCTTCTGCGGCAAAGTCTCGAAGATAGTGGTTGTTAAAGAATGTGTCTGATTTCCAGAAACATCCTGCCATTATCCCCGGAGCAGTTGCCATGGAGCGCCAACTTAGAAGTGAGAGCTCTGACCTCATGCAGATCGAAAGCCAAGGGAGGGTCTAAACCGGCATCTCTGAAGTAAGACTGCTCTCATCCAGGAGAGAGTGGTTCCAGAAAAGTTTGCTGTAGCATTTCTAGTTAACTGGATGAAAATCATCTTAACTTTTGACATCTGGAATTCGTCCTTCATCAGCAAATATGTAAGGCTCTGACTGGACCAAGTGATAAATCTTCCATATCTTTAGAACCAAGTATAAATGATAAAGGTGGAAAGTGAAACTGTCTGTCTGGTTGACCTGGCATTCGATTCTTGACAATGAAGTCCCAACAGAGAACCAGATGGGCTGATGTATTGTCGCCATTGTCGAATCTAGTGCAGCTGAAATCCATGGCATGAATATCTGACAATTCTGGCAACCATTAGCTAAGGCTAAGGCTAGTTTCCTGTGTCAGATGTTCGAATCCAGTATCTTCAAGGGGTTTGTAAGCGTCACTGGTAAGATCCCATGATGGGGGACCCGTGAAGATCCGGGATAGAATAGGTCTTCAGCAACCCATGCTTGCCGTAAAAGGCAACTAACGGGATCAGGTGGTCAGGCTCGTGAACATGGTTGATGCATGTCATTGACCTCAACTGCGTGGATTGATGCTCATGGATATCAATCACTTGATTGTCACAGAAATTTAGCCCAATCATCCAGCTGGCACCAAAATGAGAGAATAACAAGTATACAGGCTTGGACACATGCTTCTGAAGCTGCTACACAGCTGAGGGGTGCGTTTGAATGAGATGATTTTCTCTGTTCATGGGGATACAGCAGAGGAGTTTCCACTACCTTTTCGGAATAAGATGAGATAAGCAATTAGTATGAGTCAGAATAAGGTAAAATTGTATATTTCTAAATGAGACGTAACATGATTGAATGGGTTGGGTTTAACACCGCTTTTAACAGTATTCCGGTTATACCACAGCGTGTCAGCTTAATGTGGGAGGAAAGCCCGAAGTGATGCAGGTCTCAGACGTTTACCACTTCGGTGAAACCCACGAGCACGGGTATGGTGCTGACAAACCTAGAAACATAATTGGGGTGAACCAGGATTTGAACCAACAATCATAGGTTTCTGGCGTGCCCAAGGGACGCAACTCTGCACAGCAAATCGCGGCGCCTTCGACGACTGGGCCACCCGTGTCCCCTAAGACGTAACAAAAAATATCCTTACCATCCTCTGTATCATGGTCAGCATAGGCCCAATATTCTTCCTCACAACAAACATCTGGAGCAGTCTCATGGCGAACAGGAAGATGTCGATGTTGAGGATGACCCTGCGAATCAGGTAGCAAGTCTCTCCAGGAACCAGGACCAGCAACATGCCGACCATCAGACCAACGATCGTTATCAGGTCCAGTATGTTCCAACCTTGACGAAAATACTCCGCAAACTTCCTCCTTAAGGAGCGCTCAGGAACACCATAAACCTGATACAAATCAGGGTTTAGTGTGTAATGTGCATCACAATTTCAGTACACAACTCTTGTGATCTTCCATATAACTGCTTTGATTCCCCGTAGCATATTAGCACGTCTATTGATCATATTCCAACAAAGACTAATGAGGTGAGGTGAAATGGGGTTTAACTCAGCGTCCAAGATTATTGCACTTATATAGCGATGTGCATGCATGTGTGTGTGTGTGTGTGTGTGTGTGTGTGTGTGTGTGTGTGTGTGGCTGCTTGGACTAGACCGTACTGATGCCAATTTATAGTGCTAGCCCACTGAGACACTATGCCGCAGTTTAACGTGTATACCCCACTCAGACACAGTATACTGACTCCGAGCCGACCAGTCCTTGTTTTAGCCCCTTAATGCCGAGCGCCAGACAGGGTAACAAGAAGTGCCATCTTTTAACGTCTTTTGGTATGACGCGGTTGGGGATCGAACCCCGGACCTTCCGCTCTCCAGGCGGACGCTCTACCACCAGACCACGAAGGCGGTCCAGTCACCAATGAAGAAAATCAATGTGGCATCATTGTGTGCTACATCCTCATCCCTGACACCAAGTTTCTGCCAACAGGTAATTATTTTCCTTAAGATTGGTAACTAAGAATGACATTTACTCATGAAATGAGTCATTACAACCAGATTTGTCTTCATAATGACACCAACCCTCAGTAACAAGCTATGGTGTTCTCACCAGTCTGACATCCTCCCTGTGACTGAACCCCACCCTCACCCCACCCTCAGTAACAAGCTATGGCGTTCTCACCTGTCTGACATCCTCCCTGTGACTGAACCCCACCCCACACACACCACCCTCAGTAACAAGCTATGGCGTTCTCACCTGTCTGACATCCTCCCTGTGACTGAACCCCACCCTCACCCCACCCTCAGTAACAAGCTATGGCGTTCTCACCTGTCTGACATCCTCCCTGTGACTGAACCCCACCCTCACCCCCCCCTCAGTAACAAGCTATGGCGTTCTCACCAGTCTGACATCCTCCCTGTGACTGAACCCCACCCTCACCCCACCCTCAGTAACAAGCTATGGCGTTCTCACCAGTCTGACATCCTCCCTGTGACTGAACCCCACCCTCACCCCACCCTCAGTAACAAGCTATGGTGTTCTCACCTGTCTGACATCCTCCCTGTGACTGAACCCCACCCTCACCCCACCCTCAGTAACAAGCTATGGCGTTCTCACCAGTCTGACATCCTCCCTGTGACTGAACCCCTACCTCACCCCACCCTCAGTAACAAGCTATGGCGTTCTCACCAGTCTGACATCCTCCCTGTGACTGAACCCCACCCTCACCCCACCCTCAGTAACAAGCTATGGCGTTCTCACCAGTCTGACATCCTCCCTGTGACTGAACCCCACCCTACACACACCACCCTCAGTAACAAGCTATGGCGTTCTCACCAGTATGACATCTTCCCTGTGACTGAACCCCACCCTCACCCAACCCTCAGTAACAAGCTATGGTGTTTTCACCTGTCTGACGTCCTCTTCAGATTGGAGCCCACCCCACACACCCCACCCTCTATAACAAGCAATGGTGTTCTCAAATCCCGACTTCCTCCCTGAGATCGAAACCCCACCCCACACATACCACCCTCTATAACAAGCTGTGGTGTTCTCACCTGTCTGACTTCCTCCCCTAGATAGGTGGCCACCCACGCACACAGCACCCCCTGTAATGGGGTGAACTTCTCCTGTAGATCTACAAGCAGCACATAACTGAACAACAGTAGAAACGAAATGAACATCACCTGAAAGAAATAGATAACGCCAATGGAGATGGGTGGTAGAAAGAATGTTATCAACATAGCTTTACATTCAAAAGATACAGAAAACAGAACCAAGTTACCTTATTCAAAGTAATAAGCGCCCCGTTCTAATAAGTGCCCACGGTGATATTTGCAAATATATTGGCTAGTGAACAATCCCAATAAGCACGCCTTCAGATTGATAAATGTACACAAGACTTATTTATTCACATACAATACTCACTCGTGTGTTATATGCACCCTTAATTATGGGCAATTAAATTCTGGAAAAATATATCTGTCGTACATAAACATTTCAGGCTGTCAATATAAACCTTGAAATTTATCTTTCAACTCTGTTTTTTTTTCACCAAAATAATATTCTAATAAGAGCCCCCTATTTCTAATTTTGATAGCGCCCTGTGTGCTTATTACGTCGAATACAGTATTACATCTTATAAACTGAAAAAGTTAAAATAATGAGTTGATAATGATGATAAACATGATAAATAGAATCTCATCTGAGTGTCTTTTGACATCAAATTTAATTATCAACACTCGTCAATAATAGTATAAACACCTCGTTTAGCCTTGGATATCAGAACACACTTGGGTGAGATTCTCTGTCCCATTGTTTTGAAGAGCTAGCGTATACACTTCCTGTCTGATGTTTGTTTGTTGTTTAACGCCGCACTCAGCAATATTGCAGCTATATGACGGTGGTCTGTAAATAATCTAGACTGGACCAGACAATCCAGTGATTGACATCATGAGCATCGATCCACGCAATTGGGATAGATGCAACAACCAAGTCAGCAAACCTGACCCCCCGATCGTGTTATCGTGTTAGTCGCATTTTATGGCAAGCATGGGTTACTGAAGACCTATTCTATCCCAGATCTTCACGGGTCAGGGTGCTGTGTGAGGGAGCCTGGGGCTGGTACAGTAGATGGATGGTAGTAGCACTTACCAGGTTGAGTGTATACTTGACGACAGGAGCCGTGTAGAACAGCACAGCTTTCTCACAGAGGAACTTGTGTTTCTTCCTCTCGCCTGGATCCAAGGAGAACCTGCAAGTCAGAATGAAGTCAGCACCTCGTCCAACTGTGGGGAACATCAAATGCCCAATGTTGCATGCAGAAATAACAATAGTCCATTTATATTGCACATATTTCCACACCACTCAGGGGCATGCTCAAAGTGCTATTATTACCCTGGTCACTGGATCAGTGTGCACTTATTCTCAGCTCCCTGGGGAATATACAATCCAAGCTGCCTGTTAGGCGCTAAAAGGTTAATCTCATCCTTCCAGGTACCCATTCACTGCTGGGTGAACAGAGGCACATTTCGAGCAAAGTCACTTGCCCAAGGAGACACCACATGTGGTTCATGTGCTTCAGTGTGGGGCAGGAACGAAGCCCTAAAAACTCTCAGCAGCCAACCTGCCGAATGGCAGTCAGCCAGACAAGCTTAACTTCACGTGATCTGTGACCTGTGCGCTATGCACAGGACCATGTGCCACCATTAGTGAGTACAAACATCCTTCTCAATAGAGGCCGCAATGCTAAAATCCAATCAGGGACTACAACGTGCTAGCCCTGCACAGATGGTCCTTGCGACTGTCATTTGAGACAAACCGTTGTGATCGATGTACTGTCTGTGATACAAAATGGTGCTGGAAACAAGACGCATTTTGCACCAACCCTTTTCTGTCCTTCTTGTTGATCTGGAAGAGGATGAGGGAAACGCCTGGAATGAGCCCCAGCATCAAGGTCAGCTGTAATAGTGACGAGGAGACATAGCAGCTGTAATAGTGACGAGGAGACATAGCAGCTGTAATAGTGATGAGGAGACATAGCAGCTGTAATAGTGATGAGGAGACATAGCAGCTGTAATAGTGATGAGACATAGCAGCTGTAATAGTGATGAGGAGACATAGCAGCTGTAATAGTGATGACGAAACATAGCAGCTGTAATAGTGATGAGGAGACATAGCAGCTGTAATAGTGATGAGGAGACATAGCAGCTGTAATAGTGATGAGGAGACATAGCAGCTGTAATAGTGATGAGGAGACATAGCAGCTGTAATAGTGACAAGGAGACGTAAAGACATAGACAGCAGTGGACATTTACCCTACAGCAGTAATAGTGATGTTGAAACAAAGAGAGCACGTGGACATTACCCTACAGCTGTAATAGTGACATAGAGACATAGACAGCTGATGGACATTTACCCCACAGCAGTAATAGTGACATAGAGACATAGACAGCATGTGGACATTTACCCCACAGCTGTAATAGTGACAAAGAGACATAGACAGCTGATATACATTTACCCCACAGCTGTAATAGTGACATAGAGACATAGACAGCACGTGGACATTTACCCCACAGCTGTATTAGTGACAAAGAGACATAGACAGCACGTGGACATTACCCTACAGCTGTAATAGTGACATAGAGACATAGACAGCTGTTGGACATTTACCCCACAGCAGTAATAGTGACATAGAGACATAGACAGCACGTGGACATTTACCCCACAGCTGTAATAGTGACATAGAGACATAGACAGCACGTGGACATTACCCTACAGCAGTAATAGTGACAAAGAGACATAGACAGCTGATATACATTTACCCCACAGCTGTAATAGTGACGTAGAGACATAGACAGCTGATAGACATTTACCCTACAGCTGTAATAGTGACGTAGAGACATAGACAGCTGATAGACATTTACCCTACAGCTGTAATAGTGACGTAGAGACATAGACAGCTGATAGACATTTACCCCACAGCTGTAATAGTGACGTAGAGACATAGCCAGCTGATAGACATTTACCCCACAGCTGTAATAGTGATGTAGAGACATAGACAGCTGATAGACATTTACCCCACAGCTGTAATAGTGACGTAGAGACATAGACAGCTGATAGACATTTACCCCACATCTGTAATAGTGACGTAGAGACATAGACAGCTGATAGACATTTACCCCACAGCTGTAATAGTGACGTAGAGACATAGACAGCAGGTGGACATTTACCCCACAGCTGTAATAGTGACATAGAGACATAGACAGCAGGTGGACATTACCCTACAGCAGTAATAGTGACATAGAGACATAGACAGCTGATAGACATTTACCCCACAGCTTTAATAGTGACGTAGAGACATAGACAGCACGTGGACATTACCCTACAGCTGTAATAGTGACAAAGAGACATAGACAGCAAATGGACATTTACCCCACGGCAGTAATAGTGACATAGAGACAAAGACAGCTGATAGACATTTACCCCACAGCTGTAATAGTGACATAGAGACATAGACAGCAGGTGGACATTACCCTACAGCTGTAATAGTGACATAGAGACAAAGACAGCTGATAGACATTTACCCCACAGCTGTAATAGTGACGTAGAAACAAAGACAGCTGATAGACATTTACCCCACAGCTGTAATAGTGACGTAGAGACATAGACAGCACGTGGACATTTACCCCACAGCAGTAATAGTGACATAGAGACAAAGACAGCTGATAGACATTTACCCCACAGCTGTAATAGTGACGTAGAGACATAGACAGCTGATAGACATTTACCCCACAGCTGTAATAGTGACGTAGAGACATAGACAGCACGTGGACATTACCCTACAGCAGTAATAGTGACATAGAGACATAGACAGCAGGTGGACATTTATCCTACAGCTGTAATAGTGATGTAGAGACATAGACAGCTGATAGACATTTACCCCACAGCAGTAATTGTGACATAGAGACATAGACAGCACGTGGACATTTACCCCACAGCTGTAATAGTGATGTAGAGACATAGACAGCTGATAGACATTTACCCCACAGCAGTAAAAGTGATGTAGAGACATAGACAGCTGATAGACATTTACCCCACAGCAGTAAAAGTGATGTAGAGACATAGACAGCTGATAGACATTTACCCCACAGCTGTAATAGTGACATAGAGATATAGACAGCATGTGGACATTTACCCTACGATGAGGAGACATAGCAGCTGTAATAGTGATGTAGAGACATAGACAGCATGTGGACATTACCCTACAGCTGTAATAGTGTCATAGAGACATAGACAGCAAATGGACATTACCCTACGATGAGGAGACATAGCAGCTGTAATAGTGATGTAGAGACATAGACAGCAGGTGGACATTTACCCTACAGCTGTAATAGTGATGTAGAGACATAGACAGCTGATAGACATTTACCCTACAGCAGTAATAGTGATGTAGAGACATAGACAGCTGATAGACATTTACCCTACAGCAGTAATAGTGATGTAGAGACATAGACAGCTGATAGACATTTACCCTACAGCTGTAATAGTGATGTAGAGACATAGACAGCTGATAGACATTTACCCTACAGCAGTAATAGTGATGTAGAGACATAGACAGCTGATAGACATTTACCCTACAGCAGTAATAGTGATGTAGAGACATAGACAGCTGATAGACATTTACCCCACAGCTGTAATAGTGACGTAGAGACATAGCCAGCTGATAGACATTTACCCCACAGCTGTAATAGTGATGTAGAGACATAGACAGCACGTGGACATTTACCCCACAGCTTTAATAGTGATGTAGAGACATAGACAGCTGATAGACATTTACCCTACAGCTGTAATTGTGATGTAGAGACATAGAGAGCTGATAGACATTTACCCCACAGCTGTAATAGTGACATAGAGATATAGACAGCATGTGGACATTTACCCTACGATGAGGAGACATAGCAGCTGTAATAGTGATGTAGAGACATAGACAGCATGTGGACATTACCCTACAGCTGTAATAGTGTCATAGAGACATAGACAGCAAATGGACATTACCCTACGATGAGGAGACATAGCAGCTGTAATAGTGATGTAGAGACATAGACAGCAGGTGGACATTTACCCTACAGCTGTAATAGTGATGTAGAGACATAGACAGCTGATAGACATTTACCCTACAGCAGTAATAGTGATGTAGAGACATAGACAGCTGATAGACATTAACCCCACAGCTGTAATAGTGATGTAGAGACATAGACAGCTGATAGACATTTACCCCACAGCTGCAATAGTGACGTAGAGACATAGACATCACGTGGACATTTACCCTACTGCAGTAATAGTGTCATAGAGACATAGACAGCTGATAGACATTAACCCAACAGCTGTAATAGTGATGTAGAGACATAGACAGCTGATAGACATTTACCCCACAGCTGTAATAGTGATGTAGAGACATAGACAGCTGATAGACATTTACCCCACAGCTTTAATAGATTGATCTATCCTGTCTAGACACCATGACACACAACATCAGCCAGGCACATAAAAGGTTGATTGTATGATTCTGAAAGGTGTGCATCATAAAGACCTATTCTGACCTGGAATTCTAACACAGTAAAAACATTAATCACAAACATCAATACCCAGTTTGCAATACCATCTAGATGTGCATCAGGTCTGGTGCAAACAGACCAGAAGCATACAGGAACTAGAGGGAGGGAGTCAGGAAGTTTTAATGCTGCTTTTAACAAAATTCCAGCCATTTCATAACTGAAACAGGCTTTACATGTAGTACCAATGTGGGAATAGAACCTGAGTCTCCAGCATGATGGTCGAATGCTTTGACCACAAGCCCACCCCACTGCCCCTACACACAACTGAAGTAGCAATAGCATCAGCAGGAACATAGTAATTCAATGTAGCATTGGAATCTCTGTAGTGATTATAACAATTTAAAAAGACTCATCTGGTGCAATTTGGAAATGGAGTTTGGTATCCCACTTTTGGTTCATTGCCATCAGATACCATCTTCCTGACGACAAAGGTGCTAACTGACTTTGTAAGAAAGTCAGTTAACACCTTTGCTGTGGGAAGATGTCAGATACCTCCAGTTCAGTAAAGAAAGAAAGAATGCTCTTCAGTATTTTTCAAAATCCCAAATCATCCAAATATACCAACTCCCCACCAGACTGATCCTTAGCAAGTTTCAACAAGAAATATTTAAAGGTTTTGGAGTTCTGCTTGCTTTCACCATGAAAAATCATGACAACAATAGAAATTAAAAAGAATAAAAATCCCAAGTCATCAAAAGGCACCAGGTCACCACTAAATAGACCTATATAGAAAGTTTCAACAAGAAATATTTAACCGTTTTGGAGTTCGGCTACAGCAACGGAAAACGGATGGCTGACAGACAGAGGGACATGGTGATCACTACATAAAAAAAGAATATATAATCATCAAATGAAAGGCTTATCCTAAAAAGCACTCTTTGCTCCAAGGTATCACTTACCATCAGCAAAGATCTTTCCACTGCCATTTTGTCACAAACAAAAGTGTGGTCTATGGTGGTCCAATGGCTGGCGATCATATGACTGACATGTCACCGACTAGGGCTGGGAGAAGTCCAAACTAACTATCCGGGTACCTGCCCCCCTATTACCCGACCCTACCTGGGTACCTGCTGTAGGTCATATGTTGGGCACAAAATGTTCAATTGGGAATTGTTTTACCGGAGCCATGGCAAAAAGTGTTCAGATGTATAAAACGATCTGCATACACTGAAGTTGACTGAAGCTTTGTCTTAACTCAAACATTTAAAAGTCAGAAGGAATGTGTGCATAGTCAAAAAGAAATGCGAACATTAGCGACTTGTACTAGTGTAACCATGGAATTTTTTTGTCATTGTCATTTAACCATATATCACATGACAAACCATGGGTCCGGGTAGTCCTATGGGTACTCGGGTCCTACTCAGGACCCACCGGACCCGAGTACCTGTCCAAGCCCTATCACTGACATGCACAAACAATGAGACAGACTATATCTAACCACACATTTATATGGCCTGCTGTTCATTAAATGTTGAAAATTCCTTGAAATGTCTGTTTGTTGTTTAACGCCACACTCCAACTATACTCAACTACAAAAGAAACGCACATGCCCGATAAGTTTGAAGGGTTATATCTTGGAAACTATATGAGCTAGAAAGATATTTTTTGTAGGTGATTAAAGCTAAAATAATGAATTTAACAAATCTTTTAGTAACGATCAAAACTGATCATGCTAATGTATTAAACATTAATTTTGAGTTTCTTTGAGTAATGTGTTTCTTTAGCAGTTGGGTATATATTCCAGCTACAAATGTATATGATGGTGGTCTGCAAATAATCGAGTCTGGACATCATGAGCATCGATATAGACAGATGGGATATGATGACATGGGCTGCTGAAGACCATTTCTCACCCGGATCTTCATGTGGATCCTTGAAATGAGGCTCATGAATCGAGCAATGTATATTTCATGTTTTCAACCACCAAGACTTTAATCTCTTCACTTACTTTTTTGAAGGAGGACTTGGATGCATTGATCCCCCCGAACCAGATCTTGTCGAGGAGCGACTTGCAGGCTTGCTGGGAAATGAACCCGCGACTCTTCAGCTGTACCGCCAGCTGCAGACAGGACTTGTTCCCCCACCACTTGGTCCTCCGCAGCAGCAAATTGAACGTTTCCTCTTCATCCACCTCGTAACATTTTTTTAACATTTCCACTGCCAAGTCATCAAACTTTCTAAAAAAGTTGAATTAAAATTCAATGCATGAGGCACTGCAGTGTTAGTGACAACTTTGACAGACAAATCTGTATCTGCATTCACGGTAAGTTTGTCTGTTTGTTTGTTTGTTGTTTAACGCCGCACTCAGCAATATTCCAGCTATATGACGGCGGTCTGTAAGTAATCAAGTCTGGACCAGACAATCCAGTGACTCACAACATGAGCATCGATCCACGCAATTGGGATCGATGACGTGCATCAACCAAGTCAGCAAGCCTGACCACCTGATCCTGTTAGTCGCCTCTTATGACAAGCATGGGTTCCTAAAGACCTATTCTAACCCGGATCTTCATGGGCTCATGGTAAGTGAAATCTGTAATATTTTTGTCAAAGTATGTATCAAGCTGTTCCCGAGCTGTGCAATGACAGCACTTCTGATTTCAAGACCACGAAACAATTAAAACCCGTCACATAATTTTCAGCCCAAAACAATGTCAAGTTCATAAAATGCATAAAACACTATTCTTTAATATTAACAGTAGTGGCATAAAAAATGTGTAAAAAAATTAAAAAATGGAAACTTATGTTTGTACCAATTCCATATCAAAACTAAAAAAAACACATATATATTAGCGTGAATAGCTTTCATATCAGTGCCATGGGTTTGAAAGCATTGACAAATAGATAACTAGACAGAACAACGATGTCACCCATGCTGTAGTGGACCAGGCCATGGGACAAGCTTCAGGTGAGTTAAACACTCTGCCCTCTAACATCCATTCTCCATATCTGGCATTGAGTAGTATAGGTAATGAGGGTTCTGGCTCACTTCCACTGGAGCCAGATTTATTACCTATACTGCTACTACAGGGGGGATTTTTTATGCGTAAATGATGATGTGATTCAATGATAGTCATGAGATGTATTAAACGAAACATCAATATTAATTAATAATGGATAAAATTTACTATAGCCCACGAGGATATTGGAAAGGTGTAGGAGCAATAAAAAAATTAGCCACCGCGGCTAAGGTATCTAAAGATGTGGCCAAGGATTGGTTAAAGAAACAAGCGATGTGGCAGATATATTTACCGGCACCGCGTTATATACCGAGGAAGAAGTTTCATATTTTTACAACGAATGAAGTTCATCAGGCTGACCTCTTGTTTCTTCCCCACGATAAGGTAAAACGCAAAACGTATAAATACGCTTTAACCGTAGTGGATGTGGCTAGTCAATACAAAGACTTAATCTTATGACTATCATTAAATCGCATCATCATTTACGCATAAAAAATCCCCCCTGTAGTAGCAGTATAGGTAATAAATCTGGCTCCAGTGGAAGTGAGCCAGAACCCCCATTACCTATACTACTCATTGGACTCAGTGGGTGACCAAAGTTGATGAAATAAAATATTAGCTGTGTGAGGAATACCAACCCAGCATTATGGTGTAACACTGTTTCAGTGTCCAAGTTGTCTTCCTTCTTTGCAAGTTCCCGCAGTACTGCCTCCCCAACCAGAGCAGTTGCTATTTTGTCCTACAAATATACATTGTCTAACACTGAGCAAGGCCTGACAATGCCTCCCCAACCAGAGCAGGTGCTATTTTGTCCTACAAATATACATTGTCTAACACTGAGCAAGGCCTGACAATGCCTCCCCAACCAGAGCAGGTGCTATTTTGTCCACAAACACACATTGTCTAACACTGAACATGACAACGCCTCCCCAACCAGAGCAGGTGCTATTTTGTCCTACAAACATACATTGTCTAACACTGAACATGACAACGCCTCCCCAACCAGAGCAGGTGCTATTTTGTCCTACAAACATACATTATCTAACACTGAACATGACAACGCCTCCCCAACCAGAGCAGGTGCTATTTTGTCCTACAAACATACATTGTCTAACACTGAACAAGGCCTGACAACGTAGATCACAACAAAGATTGTAGATCAATTTTAATACCAACTTAACAAACTCAGTTATTTCTATGAGAAAAGGTTAAGCTGTGAGAATATGGGCTGCCATTTGGTAAAAAAATACAAAGTTGAAATAAAGGACAAAAGTATGCAATATAATAGTCAAGTGAACATCTCTGCATAATTTTATAGTCTGATGTTGACACAGTGCTGTGTGAGCGCTATTCTCGCACAATGTTCACTTTGCAGATGTTTCGAAAAGAACGCAATACATCGTTCACCTCATCATGCAGTTATCATATACACAGTGGAACAAGGCGACTAAACTCGGAATGTTTAACAAATTGCAGTGCCATCTGGCGTTCTTTATTGTCAACGTCCTTTAGCAGTTCAGCGTCCTTTCGTGCCCACTGATATTCTTAAGGACACATTGTTCTTTCTTTTCATATGACGGCTTTTCTTAACATTCGACTATTATATTGCGTACTTTTGTCAACTTTGTATTTTTTAACAGGCGTCTGTTTGTTTTGTATTTTGACCTTTATTAGTAACATTTAATAATAACATTTAGTAATAATTAATTCATAACATTTGACTATTATTGCATGCTTTTGTTTTATGTTTCAACTTTGTATTTTTTAACAAATGTCCGCCCATACTAAGAATCCTCTCTCAAAAGAAAAATGCACTCTTAGATATAATGCAACTTCGCACATAAGAGATCTTATCACAACATATCCCATGATACAGCAGGAAGCCAGATGATTAAGGTTGATGACTACCTCACTCCACTTCCACAACATCATAGCAAGCTTCTGCTTGTTGGTCAGAAGTGCCCACAGGAACATCTCTTGAATCGGGGGCAGACATGACCGGAAGTCTTGCGGCTCTGGAAGAGAAGATCAATATAATTAGGACAAGCTTACAGTGAGTGAGTCAGACTGGTTTTACGCCGCTTTTAGCAATATTCCAGCAATATCGTGGCGGGGGAGACCAGAAATGGGCTTAACACATTGTACCCATGTCAGGAATCGAACCCGGGTATTCTGTGTGACGAGCAAACGCTTTAACCTCTAGGCTACCCGACCACCCCACAAACTTAGAGATAACAATTCCCAATACAAATGAAACTGGACATAACTGAAATGAAATAAAACTGAGAGCATAAACTAAATCAATCTTCTGTGGCAAGGGCGTTAACTGACTATAAAAGTCCAGTTTCCATCCTTGCTGAGTTACATTTTGGCTGAACTAATTAGTCTATGCATAGTCCAATCAAAATCGCGTAACTAACTAGACATCCAGTTCAAAAACATCATGGATTTCAACGTGCAGATTTCTTTGACAGCAAAATTTGAAAGCATGTGTACTGCATTTTATTTCATTATATACCATGATTATCAATCAGATCGTCTTGACTGGGCGCCTCCATTTTGTTTGTAGCAAATACAAGTGATAAGAGAGATGGAATCTGATTGGTCAATAGGAGATACATAGAAGGGACATAACTCGTAATAGCCACTGGTGGCCCTACAATCGAGCCTCGAAAATTCCAGCCCAGTTTGTCAAGGGTAGGAACTGGACTTTTACGGTCAGTTAACGCCCTTGTCTCAGGAAGATGCCGTAAACCTACCTGTGAAAACTGTGTTCATATCTGAGGTGGTGACAACTGCCTGACACTGACACTGTTTGCCTGTACAGGTGAGTGGGTACCTGGTACCCAGAATATCTTGAAGAGCAGTTCGCACATCTGATACAGTATTTAACGCATGGCAATCAGTGCACTGAAACATATAACATATTTTATCATATAATGGGTAGGTTTCTCGGCAGGATAAAGCCAACGGATAAAAACGATATCCGTTGGGATCATATGCGGATAGAGATGCAAATATCAAAGGTCAAGTAGGGACTACTTTCACTGTTTATAAACAAACATGGCGTAGCCCTTGTCAGAATTAACGATCAGGAATCTGGAGAAACTACTGGGATAATTGCTATCATTATGAATAGAATAGTCTAATATACTGAAAACCAGTGTCTAATTTAGCAATGGCACTTGCCAAGCGGGATCCCTTTCAATATCTGTGCTTGTAGACCTCTGTGGCTTGGAACCTTTTCCACAAATTAAGACAGGTGGATTTGGCCGAAATATGTTGGAAATGTTACCTTCTTTCGTATTATCGCTGTGCATACATCTGACTGCACTTCATAACGTTATGACAGGACAGGCCGACTGTCAACAACGTCTGACTGTGGCCGTGACGTTTCATAGACTAGGGTTAGAGTAGCTTCCCTTTGGTAAAGGGCAGTAACTCTATCGGACAGGCCGATGGATTGCCGCGAAAGGCAAGTAGAACAATTTGTGTTGGCAATTGTTGTTTTGCATATATGTAGTTACGTCACTGTATAAGAAACAGGTTTCTGTTGGAACTATATTGGCTACTGTCACTGTCTGACTGACACATCACTTACCCTCTGACGTAATATATATTAATACGCACATTCCAGCAAAAATTGCAATGTTTAGGTAATGTTTTTGAGAGATGGAAAGTGATTTTCGAGCACAGAATTGAAGAATGACATTATATCATAAAGAGGTTATCACTCTTGTGTGTTATCACTCCTTGTATTAGGAATAAACATTATGTATTCAGCTCGCCAAGGCTTGCTAAACACAACGTTTATTCCTAACACAGGACATTTACCATCCCCAAACACACTTTTGTGATAACCTCTATGAATACACTGTAAATCAAATGATCAAACAAGCTTGCAACCACTTCTTAAATATACACTCTGATGAATGCAGAAGGCATAGTTATAAATGCAGTGTGTATCACTGTGAAGGCTTTGGGTGTTCACCAGAAGTATTCTCTGGTTCCTCGTTATTTGAAACAAGGGTCATTTGGTTCCTAGATGTATATATATTTCAGTTCCTAGGATATCAAGGCTATATTAAGTGTGGTGCTACAAATTACATGTGTCACAAGCGGGATCAACAAGATTTTACAAGCTTAATGGGGTGTTAAACAACAAGACTGAAGGTTGAGCGGCTGATGACACAAATGTTCAAACAAATACAGACAAAATAGGAAAGCAAAATAGTGTCACTTCAATGTCGCCCACTGCACATAAAGCCAACAGTTAATGTTAATGAAAGCCACTGTCAGAATTGATATCAAATAGTTATTATATAACCATTTTAATGAAATATTTTTCTTAATTTTTGCCTTTTTCACATTCTGCGAAATAACACACATCCTGGCAGCCATGAATACCGTTCAGAAACTTGAGTGCAGATGCCTTCATGAACACAATGCCATTTAGAAAGTGGTCAAATGTGACAAATGTTATATTTGGGATAACACTTTCTCAGTAAAGTACAGGTACTAGTCCTATCTGGGATTCGAACCTCCACTATCAATATTTGAAAAGGTTGTAGGTATACAGGAAAAAGTGAGAACGAAGACATCTTTCAAGCTGCTGGCCACCTAGTCTGATTACTATCAGAATGTCACTTACACAAGATTTTCTTTCTTTGGCTGCTTTCAAATACTTTCTGCAGGGCCCCAGATGTTCAAACTGAAATAATGACAGAACTATTTTACCACAAAAAGTATAAAATTATGATTCGAGTGTCCTGTCTTCCTAACCCTGTTGACCGCCTCCGTGGTCCAGTGGTAGAGCGTCCGCCCGGAGAGCGGAAGGGCCGGGTTTCGATCCCCGGCCGTGTCATACCAAAAGACGTTAAAAGATGGTACTTGTTGTTACCCTGTCTGGCGCTCGGCATTAAAGGGGTAAAACAAGGACTGGTCGGCTCGTAATCATTATACTGTGTCTGAGTGGGGTATTCATGTTAAAAAACTGTGGCATGGTACCTCAGTGAGCTAGCACTATAAATCGGCATCAGTCCGGACTAGTACAAGCAGCCACACAAACACACACACGTACATGCACGTCGCTATATAAGTGAAATAATCTTGGACGCGACGTTAAACCCCATTTCACCTCACCTCCTAACCCTGTTATACAGCTGTATACTGTTCATGGTGAAATGTTCCATTATCTCACCTTGTTATACAGCTGTATGATGTCTGTGGAGAAATAATCTATGATCTCACCCTGTTCTACAGCTGTATGATGTCGATGGTGAAAATTTCTCGGATCTCCCCATTATACAGCTGTACAGTGTCCATGGTGAAAAGTTCTATGATCTCACCTTGTTATACAGCTGTACAGTGTCTATGATGAAATGTTCTCTGATCTCCCCATTATACAGCTGTACAGTGTCTATGGTGAAAAGTTCTATGGTCCCACCTTGTTATACAGCTGTACAGTGTCTATGGTGAAATGTTCTATGATCTCACCTTGTTATACAGCTGTACAGTGTCTATGTGAAATGTTCTATGATCTCACCTTGTTATACAGCTGTACAGTGTCTATGGTGAAAAGTTCTATGATCTCACCTTGTTATACAGCTGTACAGTGTCTATGGTGAAATGTTCTATGATCTCACCTTGTTATACAGCTGTACAGTGTCTATGTGAAATGTTCTATGATCTCACCTTGTTATACAGCTGTACAGTGTCTATGTGAAATGTTCTATGATCTCACCTTGTTTTAGAGCTGTACAGTCTCTATGGTGAAATGTTCTATGATCTCACCTTGTTATACAGCTGTACAGTGTCTATGTGAAAAGCTCTAAGATCTCACCCTGCTGTACAGTTGTATGATGTTGTCCATGGTGAAATGTTGGTTCAGGTTGCCAAGGCCCTTCAAGATGGCCTCCACCACGGCAGCGCTGCTGTTGAACATCGTCTCCAACAGGAAGTAGGTGTGAGGGTTGATCTGTGTTCCTGACAACCACACATGCAAACTTGTAGGTCTGGTGATGTCACACTGTCATACCACAATACATGTCAGGGTTCCGCTGTACAAAGCAGTCTTAGAGCTGGGGTGATCGACACTCCCATACCTTATCATAGGCTTACGACAGTCATAGCACAAGAGTTGTTTTGCACCAGGGCGCCCAGGCGTGGACTTACGACGGTCATAGCACAAGAGTTGTTTTGTACCAGGGCGCCCAGGCGTGGACTTACGACGGTCATACCACAAGAGTTGTTTTGTACCAGGGCGCCCAGGCGTGGACTTACGACGGTCATACCACAAGAGTTGTTTTGTACCAGGGCGCCCAGGCGTGGACTTACGACGGTCATACCACAAGAGTTGTTTTGTACCAGGGCGCCCAGGCGTGGACTTACGACGGTCATACCACTAGGGTTGTTTTGTACCAGGGCGCCCAGGCGTGGACTTACGACGGTCATACCACAAGAGTTGTTTTGTACCAGGGCGCCCAGGCGTGGACTTACGACGGTCATACCACAAGAGTTTTTTTGTACCAGGGCGCCCAGGCGTGGACTTACGACGGTCATACCACAAGAGTTGTTTTGTACCAGGGCGCCCAGGCATGGACTTACGACGGTCATACCACAAGAGTTGTTTTGTACCAGGGCGCCCAGGCGTGGACTTACGACAGTCATACCACTAGGGTTGTTTTGTACCAGGGCGCCCAGGCGGGAACCTACGACGGTCATACCACAAGAGTTGTTTTGCACCAGGGCGCCCAGGCGTGGACTTACGACAGTCATACCACTAGGGTTGTTTTGTACCAGGGCGCCCAGGCGGGAACCTACGACGGTCATACCACAAGAGTTGTTTTGCACCAGGGCGCCCAGGCATGGACTTACGACAGTCATACCACTAGGGTTGTTTTGTACCAGGGCGCCCAGGCGGGAACCTACGACGGTCATACCACTAGGGTTGTTTTGTACCAGGGCGCCCAGGCGTGAACTTACGACAGTCTTAGCACTAGGTTGTTTTGTACCAGGGCGCCCAGGCCTATCAGTAAGTGCCACTGCCAAGATTTCCCAGCATTTAAACCTCACTACCCAGAACCATTTGTCTGGTAAAGCAAAAGGTACCTGGCTAAAAATGCCCTATTTCTGACTGCTCTGATGCTCTTTCCAAACCTTAGAACTACCATCATGATATCGAACAATAGTTATTATTGTTAATAATTCTAAGAATACCACCTCTATTACATCTTTGCCATAAATCCTGTATTTTGGCTTCAGTCGCACTTACTAAAATCTTCAGATTTTTAACAGACATCCTCTTCACTGTCAATCACACAACTAGTTGTTCCCAAATAGCATCTTAACCAATCAAGCCATGACGTATGCAATGGCGGGAACTTCACTTCTTCCCAAATCTTACTGTGTCTGTTTTATAGAAAAATATTAGAATAATCTTAGATTAATGTGACTAAACAACTATATCAAAGGTGTACACACAAGGAAGAAGTAAAGGTCCCGCCATTGCATAAGTCATAGCTTGATTGGTTATGATGCCATTTGGGAACAACTAGTTGTGCGATTGACAGTGAAGAGGACACCTGTTGAAAATCTGAAAATTTTAGTTAGTGTGACTGAAGCCAAAATACAGGATTTATGGCAAAGATGTAATAGAGGTAGTAGTTTCGTAAGAATTATGTGATATTCAGATTGGCCTGGGTCATACTAATGTACTTTCATGTGCCTGAGAATTTCTCTCAGAACACTGTACTTCTACCTTAATGATATTATCAAATCTTGGTATAGTTCATAATCTCATCCCTCTGAATTATTAATACAACTTCATACTAATTATCTAAATATATAGTATTATTTCATGTCAATAATACATGGTCCAAATATAAAGGTCAAATTAACGCCAAACAAATTATAACAAAAAGATGGAACATTTAGCCCCACTACCACCTAACAACATTGAACATCAGATTTGAACCTCTTGAACAAATTCATGTGTCATCATTAATGTACAGAAGCCTTTTAGGGCCATTTCTTTTTTTCTTGAAATTTCAAGATACATACTAAATTGAAATTTCAAGATAATGTTCTTAAAATTTCAAGATAATAACTTGAAATTTCAAGTTAGTATCTTGAAATTTCAACTTTGTATGTATCTTGAAATTTCAAGTTAGTATCTTGAAATTTCAACACAACAACTTGAAATTTCAACTTAGTATCTTGAAATTTCAACACAACATCTTGAAATTTCAACTAAGTATCTAAGCCCTAAAAGGCTACCGTATTAATGGGAACAAGTATGTTTTCATCTTTATTGGTCCAGTGGTTTCTGAGATGCTAACTTGAAATTTCAACTTAGTATGTATCTTGAAATTTCAACACAACATCTTGAAATTTCAAGTTAGTATCTTGAAATTTTAAGAAGGTATCTTGAAATTTCAAGAAAAAAAACCCCCAAAAAACAAATGGCCCTAAAAGGCTTCCGTATCAATGGGAACAAGTATGTGAAATTTCATCTTTATTGGTCCAGTGGTTTCTGAGAAGATGTTTACAGACAACAATGGAGTCAAAACTGTATTTTGATACAAACATCCATACTGTATCAAAAAAATTGGTGCAAAAGATTATGGGAAAAAAGACCAAAAAATATTTTTGCAACATCATTTAGGACACAAATGGGTACATATAGTGATTGAACAGCTTTGAATAAACTGGGATCCGCCTTCATTTCCATTTACACAAAGTGTAAGCCTCATGCCTGGACATTCTCATATTGATTAAGATGTTTATTTTTTGAAAAATAACACTTTTTAAATATATGGTATGTTATCCGAAAACAACATACTTGCTGTGTATATAGGACTGATATTTCTTTAGCAAAACTTTGAGCCTAAACAGTTCTAAGTTTGTTGTACAATGTATGGGTATCCGCAGGTCGTTATACGACCCCCTTTCATTTATCAATTAAGTAGGGCTGATGATGAGGAAGGATTCTGCACTGCAGTGCCCAACATACATGTGTGAATACGAGATATATTTTTTGACAGTTAGCACCACTTTGGGCTTTCCTCTCACAGCCAGTGTGCACAGAAGCTGCCTACCCACCAGCCTATGGCAAGCACAATTTCAGTAATGCTAAAGATTCTGAAATGTCCTTAGCCTGACTGGCTTCCGTAATTTTAATGATGATTATTTTATATTTTATGCATACCTCCTTGTTGACGAAAATATAAAAAAGTTCTCCTCTATATGTAGATCAAAAGAACCATCAAATGTAAAAATTCAAATTAATATGCATTTCAAATTTAGGTTATGGAATCAGAGTTATCCCCCTTCATACTATTTGACTCTAGTTTACCTTATTGATACCCTCACAGACTCAAATTTCGAAAAAAACATAAACTTTAGCATATATATAAGCTACAGAAATGTGAAACTGGCCCACCTGAGCCCACTTGCACAAAGCGATCTTAGCGCTACGACTATCGTAAGCCTATGTTAAAGCATGGGAGTTAAGATCATCTTAGCGCTAAGATCGCTTTGTGCAAGTGGGCCAAGGCCAGCAATATGTTAAGACTATTTCACACACTGCTCACAGGTAAACATTCAAGTGGACTTACTTTCCTGTGGATTCTCCATGTTGTGAGTGTTCCCAGTCCAGATGTTCCCACTGCTGTTTGCAACGAAGGACTCCAGTAGTTTGTGTAGCTTGCTCTCCTGCTTAGCTGTAACAGCAAGGATATTAGCTGTAACAGCAAGGATATTCTGTAACAGCAAGGATATTAGCTGTAACAGCAGGGATATTAGCTGTAACAGCAAGGATATTAGCTGTAACAGCAAGGATATTAGCTGTAACAGCAAGCATATTCTGTAACAGCAAGGATATTAGCTGTAACAGCAGGGATATTAGCTGTAACAGCAAGGATATTAGCTGTAACAGCAAGGATATTCTGTAACAGCAAGGATATTAGCTGTAACAGCAGGGATATTAGCTGTAACAGCAAGGATATTAGCTGTAACAGCAAGCATATTCTGTAACAGCAAGGATATTCTGTAACAGCAAGGATATTAGCTGTAACAGCAAGGATATTCTGTAACAGCAGGGATATTAGCTGTATCAGCAAGGATATTAGCTGTAACACCAAGCATATTAGCTGTAACACCAAGGATATTAGCTGTAGCATTCCTAGAAAATCATGTACATATGTTAATGACTCACCTTCAACTCAGCAAGGTCAATTCAACATGAACAATTTTAGTGTTCATGATACATGTAAGCAAGGTCATTGCAAGACAAACATACCTCGGCACAGAACTGACCTTCAACCAAGGCCATTTCAAGACAGACATATCTAGGTGAAGAAATCACTTTCAAGTGAGGTCATGTCAAGACAAACATATCTAGGTGAAGAAATCACCTTCAAGTGAGGTCATGTCAAGACAAACATATCTAGGTGAAGAAATCACCTTCAAGTGAGGTCATTTCAAGACGAACATATCTAGGTGAAGAACTCACCTTCAAGTGAGGTCATGTCAAGACAAAAACATATCTAGGTGAAGAAATCACCTTCAAGTGAGGTCATTTCAAGACAAACATATCTAGGTGAAGAAATCACCTTCAAGTGAGGTCATGTCAAGAGAAACATATCTAGGTGAAGAACTCACCTTCAAGTGAGGTCATTTCAAGACAAACATATCTAGGTGAAGAAATCACCTTCAAGTGAGGTCATGTCAAGAGAAACATATCTAGGTGAAGAACTCACCTTCAAGTGAGGTCATGTCAAGACAAACATATCTAGGTGAAGAAATCACCTTCAGGTGAGGTCATGTCAAGACAAACATATCAAGGTAAAGAAATCAGCTTCAAGTGAGGTCATGTCAAGACAAACATGTGTAAGTGAAGAAATCAGCTTCAAGTGAGGTCATTTCAAGACAATCATATCTTGGTGAAGAACTCACCTGCAAGCAAGATGATTTCATGACAAACATGTCGAGGTGAATGACCGACATTTAAACAAACAAGAGCCACAGGTAAACACAAGCCAAATGAAGAACAACAAAAAACACACGTATGAACACGTCAAGGATTAGAGGCTCACCTTTGAGCAAAGCCCACACAACAACCACGTCAAGGATTAGAGGCTCACCTTTGAGCAAAGCCCACACAACAACCATGTCAAGGAATAGAGACTCACCTTTGAGCAAAGCCCACACAACAACCACGTCAAGGAATAGAGACTCACCTTTGAGCAAAGCCCACACAACAACCATGTCAAGGACTAGAGACTCACCTTTGAGCAAAGCCCACATAACAACCACATCAAGGAATAGAGACTCACCTTTGAGCAAAGCCCACACAATAACCATGTCAAGGACGAGAGACTCACCTTTGAGAAAAGCCCACATAACAACCATGTCAAGGAATAGAGACTCACCTTTGAGCAAAGCCCACATAACAACCATGTCAAGGACTAGAGACTCACCTTTGAGCAAAGCCCACACAACAACTATGTCAAGGACAAGAGACTCACCTTTGAGCAAAGCCCACACAACAACCACGTCAAGGACTAGAGACTCACCTTTGAGCAAAGCCCACACAACAACCATGTCAAGGACTAGAGACTCACCTTTGAGCAAAGCCCACACAACAACCACATCAAGGAATAGAGACTCACCTTTGAGCAAAGCCCACACAACAACCACGTCAAGGAATAGAGACTCACCTTTGAGCAAAGCCCACACAACAACCATGTCAAAGAAAAGAGACTCACCTTTGAGCAAAGCCCACACAACAACCACGTCAAGGACGAGAGACTCACCTTTGAGCAAAGCTAACACAACAACCATGTCAAGGACTAGAGACTCACCTTTGAGCAAAGCCCACACAACAACCATGTGCAGCCCCAGTGTCTGGGGTTGTGGGTCAAAGACAGTAAGCAGCTCAAAGTGGTTGAGTATGTCTCTGATCTTCATCTCATCATCGTCATCATCATTAACATCCATCTCCACGTTCAGATGGTACCTGAAGTAATGAGTACAAATAGGCTTAAGGCATAATGAATTAGTGCCAAAATACAGTTTTTCTTCTTCAAGCATGTCTAGCGATCAAGCAGAAATGCATTTGATCCATTTTGAAGAATCAAAATTATGCCTTGCATAATATTTTATGCTCACAGAATTTATTTTCATTTTATTTGAAGTAAAATATTTTTAATCTTACTTTACACATTCTGAAATTCCAGATATTAATTGTTGAACAAAAAGGATCAATTGATCTTGTAATTAGCACTCATTAATATGGATTTGCTGTAGGTCTTCGTACAATATCATATCAATAAACAACATGTTTAAGAATGTAGATGGTGTGTGCAAGAAATCCTAGCCATAACCTCTTAATGACAGTACTGACAAACGTACCAATGATAACCGACCCATGAAGATCCGGGTTCAAAAAGGTCTTCAGCAACCCATGCTTGAAGTAAAAGGCGACTAATGGGATCGGGTGGTCAGACTTGCATAGATCGATGCTCATGACATCAATGACTGTATTGTCTTGTCCAGACTCGATTATTTACAGACTGCCATCATATAGCTGGAATATTGCTGAGTGCACCATTAAACAACTAACAAAACAATGAAAACCAGGTACAAAAAGTGTTTCTGTTATCAATGAGATGCCATTGTTAGGATATCACTGATCTAGTTTGCTCCCGATCCAGTCCAGTTCTCACAGATTTCATTTAACTCAAAACCCATGGAACCCAAGGGTGGCAGTACTCAAGCTGAATGGGAAATAAGAGTCTAACAGAAGCAGACCTCAACATACTCCTCAACATTAGCTGAGGACCAAAAGAGTCATCTTTAGAATACATACAAGATACAGTGAACATGCTCATCCTTCCACCAATGTTATCTTAGGGGCTGGTCATTTATTTATTTTAGGGGGGGCACGGGTGGCCCAGTCGTTTAAGGCCAGAAACCTATGATTGTGGGTTCGAATCCCGGTTCGCCCTGATTATGTTTCTAGGTTTGTCAGCACCATACCCGTGCTCGTGGGTTTCACCGAAGTGGTAAATGTCTGAGACCTGCATCACTTCGGGCTTTCCTCCCACATTAAGCTGACACGCCGCGATATAACTGGAATACTGTTAAAAACGGCGTTAAACCCAACACACTCACTCACTCAGTATTTATTTTAGGGGGATACTGTAAATCTTGAAATTAACGCGAGCGTGAATTAAATGCGAACTATGCGAGTGGTCTTTGCTCACTTTGATCGCATTTATATCAACAATAAGACATTTTGGATAGCAGAAATACCATATTAGACATACGCTGAAAACAAACAACTATGTATTCCACATCACTGTTTATTGAGCAGCACTTGTAACAAGTATATAAACAGTGTCATTCAAACACTAATTACATCCTGTGAATTGTCACTGCTTGGGTCAAGACAAGAGTTCTACTCACTTATACCATCCCTGATCACACCTGCAAGTCCAGACAGACGCCACCCACACAACACGGTGTCTTTGTTCTTTACGACTGCGCCAAAGGCCGACACGAACCAGCACGCATGTATTGTTTTAGCGGAAGTACTCTACTCAGCGCTAATAAGCAGTCCTATTTGGTGTGTGATTGGATTAATGTTAGGTTGGATTAAGGTGAGGATTCTCCTTTGAACCTGACACAGGACGTTTTCTTTAGATATAAATCCACTGGTGCTTGAGAGGAGGGGGTTGTCGCATTCATACTGAGTCGCTCTTTTGGCTTGGGACCAGCGGTCGCATTCTTTTGGAGACACATTAATTTCACGTTTTACAGAATTGATCTCATGTTTTTCATGCCCCCTACCCCAAATACATGTAACACTTCTCCATGACCCCCATCCACCCATAGTTGTGATAACATTTAGGCGACCCCCATTAATCTCACTGAACCCCCCTCTCCTATAATACATTACTAATCCCAAATCATGATTTAGTTTCTTACTTGAGACCCGTGAAGATCCGGGTTAGAATAGGTCTTCTGCAACCCATGCTTGCGCAAAAAGCGACTGTGCTCCTTGTAAGTGGCGACTAATGGGATCGGGTGGTCAAGCTCACTGACTTGGTTGATGCATGTCATTGTATCCCAATGCTCATGATGTCAATCACTGGATAGTCTGGTCCAGAATCGATTATTTACAGACTGCCGTTAAGTGTGGCATTAAACAACAAACAAATAAACTTTCTTACTTGAAGCTGACTTTGCCAGTTGTGTCGAAAGTCTTGCTACAATTGGGTTTTTTTCTGAGATACACGGATGCAATCTTGTCAGCACAGCCTCCAGACCCCTGTATCAGGTAGGAAGATTCAGCATCTCAGTGCTTGCTGATGCTACTTCAACAACAACTATTACCATCTCAACACAACAAGGGTGATTTATCATCCAAACTGGCTTCCACAGCAAACTTCACTCAAGTGAGATGAAGCAATATCGCCAAGGAGATACCTTCAATGAAATTGCATCACAATCACATGACATCACTAATCTCTCTGCTACTGAAGCCGGTTAGGCTTAAAAAAATAAAAGAATTGGTTCTCAGGCAATGAAACTTTTGAAAATATAGAGCAGGCGGGCGGTGTTTGTTTTTTTTGCTTGTTTAAAATAGTATGTGATCAAATACACTGTGGTGTACAATCAACCTGGGAAAAGGGCCTTCTAACATAAACAAGCATACAAACTCCTATTGCCACCATAACATTAGATGCGCAGTAAAGGGAAGTAACTGTGTAACTTAGTATTTCATATTTTTTTAGAAAATGGAAATAAAAACGAAACGGGCAGCAGACTTTATGATGATGCGGACAGTGCCAGAGAACCAAGATTATTTTTTTTTAGCCTTAGCTGTGTTCCTTACACTCAAGACACTGGTGATTACTTCAACATTTCTCAATGATACATGGCGTATTAGTTTAATTAAATAGACAGTTAATTAATGGAGCATTATCAACATATCAATTTTTCAGTATGTAATGAGAGAACACAGGAATATCCTCGATGGCAATGCTTTGTAATCTTACAGCATTCTGTTACAGCACTGTATGACGCCATCAATTGAATGTAGTTAACAGATGTGTTGCAATGGAATGCACAACCTCATTAAAATCAGATCTTAGTTCTCGCTACCGCTAAACAAAGATCTGAGGACATCCCATTACGGGTCATGTCAGACCGACCTTTCACGAACTTTGACCGACCAATTGAATAACTGACAAGAAGTCGACATTAGCCAATCAGAAGGCAGCTTTCTCATGCTTACGGCACTAATTTCAACTTGACGACTACGCTTTGAAACATATTTTGACAAATTGCCGATTAAAAATTTGAAACCTGAACAAAAGAACATTCTGGAATGGCTAACAGATGTTCTAGATTGTATTGATTCAGTCGTTCAACCCGTAACTATCGTTCAGAATACCCCGTGTTAAGGTTTTCGAGGTTGCATGATTAGGAATCACATTCCGACTCTCACTTTCATGATCTGGTAAGCAACGCTCTGATTGGTCGGATGAAAGGTCATTCTGATGTGACCCCTAATGGGATGTCCTCAGATCTTTGTTTAGCGTTAGCAAGAACTAAGATCTGATTTTAATGAGATTATGGAATGCACAAAGACCAATTTCTCAATTTCATTTGGACAGTAACATAAAATCATTTATATTTTAAAATAGCTAACTGAAAACAAAGATAAATTCTCTGAATGCAGACTTATCAAATATTCAAATACATGTAGTCACAAAACTGAACGGTGATAGTGAATGGAAAGACAGATCTACAAGACACACAGCTAGTCTCAGATACAAACAATGAAACAAACATATCTGAAAATATCCCAAGTAAGTATACAATACTGTGGCAAGTCTAGATTTTGTTAGTTTCAGGAAATGAAGAGATTTTTAGAAATAAAAATTGAAGACAAAATGTTAGTCTTCCACAGAGCGACCTCAACTCTGTTTACCTGAGGCAAGGACGTTAACAGACTTTAAAAGTCCAGTTTATAGACTTTCCGAATTACTGGGTTTGATCGTAGTGCTACCAGTGGCTATTACGAGTTATGTCCCTTCTCTATCCCTCCTATTGGCCAATCAGATTCTACCTCTCATATCACTTTCATTTCTTCAGACAAAATGACGACACCCAGTCAAGACAATCTGATCGATAATCGAAATGTATATTGTAATAAAACGGGTAATACTTTGGGAAGTGCATCAAATCACCTGAACACCTTGATTAAAAACATGAAATGATTTGGTAAATATCTGTTGACGCTGAGATGGCGGTACACATACTTTGCAAATCCTGCAACTCACTAAATTCTGTATGGACATTCATTTATGAACCAAATGTAGACTATATTACGCGATTTTGATTGGACCATGCATTGACTCGTTAGTCCAGCCAAAAAATAACTCCATAATGCCAGGCTAGTTCGTCAAGGGTGGAAACTGGACATTTATAGTCAGTTAATTCCCTTGCCTCAGGAAGATGGTTTACTGTGGCAGCTTCAGCCACAAAGCTATCATCACAAATGGTCACCAAGCTAAGGATTCCTTGACTGTAATACCTTGACAATGACAACTGGTATCTGCCTCTGTAGAGCCTTGAGCACATGTGCCAGTGCCATGGACCCACCATTCATCAACACCAACACCGTCGGGGGACCCTCACCTGAAAACAATCAATCAGAGGCAGTAACACGAGACTGTTCCGCAATCAATTATCAGTATTCTCTTAAATACTGAATTATGTGATCCTACATTGATAATATACTTCGAAAATCACTGAATCTTTTTGAAAAAATAATGTATAAACAAGATGCATAGCAAACACATGCAACACTAAAATTGGTTAATCGAAACAAAGAAGTCTGTTCGTACTTGGCTTGTCTCATGCATAAAGACAGATTAATACTGATCATGATGAAGATCTAAATACTTAACTGGCATCATACTTAATTTCATCTTTCCGAAGCAAGGGAGTTAACTGACTATAAAAGTCCAGTTTCCACCCTTGCCGAACTGGGCTGGACTAACGAGTCTATGCACAGTCCAATCAAAATCGCGCACAGAAATCGAAATCCGGTTTGTAAATTGTCATGCAGATTTCGATTGATTGCAGGATTTGCAAAGCATGTGCACCGCCAACTTGTTGTCAGCAGAGATTTTCCAAATCTTTTCATGTTTTTAATCAAGGTGCTCACCTGATTTGATGCATTTCGTGATGTAAGACCCGTTTTATCACAGTATAGATCTTGATTATCGATCAGATCGTCCTGACTGGGCGCCGTCATTTTGTGTGAAGCAAACGCAAGTGATACGAGCGGTGGAACCTGATTGGTCCATAGGAGAGGCTTAGAAGGGACATAACTGGTAATAGCCACTGGTGGCGCTATGATAGAGTCCAGTAATTCCATCCTAGTTCGGCAAGGGTGGAAACTTGACTTTTAAAGCCAGTTAACTCTCTTGCCTCGGGAAGATGACTTAATTTCTTATGGTTAATTTGTGATATACTTGAAGTAAGACGAGTTCTATGGATGAACAACTTCTTTATTACAATTAGTGCGACGTTTCGGTGTAGATCCTAACACCTTTATCGAGCAAGTGATGGATAGGGCTAAACAACATAGGTATATATACACTTATTGACATCTAAGTTGTTACAGTGACTAGTTGATGGACACAGAGAGGTGATTAAGCTAATTGGAAGCCAGTGGATGACTAATGAACACAGAGTATACTAGCAGGGTAAACTGATTACACTGATTCATATTACTACAGTTAATCTGTCATGACATGAAAGACTAACTATAGTAATACTACAGGGGAGTATGTAGTAGGATGTGAAATCATCCCACAGATGACATCCTACCCTTGTCAGCTTCCTGCGGTGTTAATATCTTTGGTCATGTGGAGAAGGTGTCCGAACTCAAATCAGAAGGTCTGTGGTTAGAATCCCATTACGGGATCGGAAATTTTATGGCCGTTACAACTACATGATGATGTCACCACGGTGAAACATACCACACACATACTCCACTGTAGGGCTGGGACAAGTCCAAATTTACTACCCAGGTACCCCCCCTTATTACCCGCCCCTACCCGGGTACCCACTGTAGGTCTCAAGAGATAGGTACAAAATGTCCGATTGGACATTTTTTACCATAGCCCTGGCAAAATGTAATTATCTTTATTCAACTATATGAAAAGTCAGAAGGAATGGTGCATAGTCAGAAAGAAATGCGAACATTAGTGACTTGTAGTGTAACCATAGAGTTCCAGATAATTTTGTCACTAAACAATATATCACGTGACTAACCATGGGTCCGGGTAGTCTTATAGGTACCCGGGTCCTACTCAGTACCCACCCGACCCGGGTACCCGAGTTACCCGTCCCAGCCCCACTCCACTGATGTTCCACCATATTGTAACAGCTCTAGTGTAACACATACCATGAGTTCCTTCAAATGCCTTCTCAAATGCCTTCTCAAGCATTTCTCTGAAATGATGTAGATGTTTCATGTTGACGTGGTAGGTGCCGTCATCGGCAAACAGGTAGTGGCTGAAGTATGGGGACAGGTTCCTCCCCAGAACCTCTGTCTGAGACCTGGCGCCTGGCTTTATATCCCTGTCCTGGAAACACAAGTGCCATGTCAAGATGAGTGTAGGAGGTGAGGTGAGGTGAAATGGGGTTAAATGTCAACGTGTGTATGGCTGCTTGTACTAGTCCGGACTGATGCTGATAAAATAGTGGTAGCCAGTGCCGCAGTTAAACATGAATACTGACTCCGAACCGACCAGTCCTTGTTCTAGCCCCTTAAGGCCAATTGCCAGACAGGGAAACAAGTACCATCTTTAAACATGTTTTGGTATGACACGGACGGGGATCAACCCAAGGACCTTTAGCTCTCCAGGCGGACGCTCTACCACTAGACCACTGAGGCGGTCTCCTGGCAGATACTCTACCACTAGACCACAGAGGCGGTCTACCAATCACACTAGGCCATGGAGGCAGTCTCCAGGCAGACGCTCAACCACTAGGCCATGGAGGCAGTCTTCAGGCAGACGCTCTACCACGAGACCACAGAGCAGTCTCCAGGCAGACACTCTATCACTAGGCCATGGAGGCAGTCTTCAGGCAGACGCTCTACCACGAGACAACTGAGGCAGTCTCCAGGCAGACCCTCTATCACTAGACCACAGAGCAGTCTCCAGGCAGACACTCTATCACTAGACCACAGAGCAGTCTCCGGGCAGACGCTCTACCACGAGACCACAGAGCAGTCTCCAGGCAGACACTCTATCACTAGACCACAGAGCAGTCTCCAGGCAGACACTCTATCACTAGACCACAGAGCAGTCTCCGGGCAGACACTCTACCACTAGACCACAGAGCAGTCTCCGGGCAGACGCTCTACCACAAGACAGCTAGGCCATGGAGGCAGTCTCCAGGAAGACGCTCTACCACTAGGCCATGCAGGCAGTCTCCAGGCAGACGCTCTACCACTAGGCCATGGAGGCAGTCTCCAGGCAGACGCTCTACCACAAGGCAGCTGAGGCAGTCTCCATACAGACGCCCTACCACTGGACCACAGAGGCGGTCTCAAGGCAGACACTTTACCACTAGACCACGGAGGCGGTCTCCAGGCAGACGCTCTACCACTAGAGCATGGAGGTGGTCTCTGGGCAGATGCTCTACCACTAGACCATGGAGGCAGTCTCAGGAGGGACGCTCTACCACTAGGCCACAGAGGCAGTCTCAAGGCAGACGCTCTACCACTAGACCAGGGAGGCGGTCTCTGGGCAGACGCTCTACCACTAGACAACTGAGGCAGTCTCCAGGCAGGCGCTCTACCACTAGACCACGGAGGCGGTCTATGGGCAGACGTTCTACCACTAGACCATGGAGGCAGTCTCTGGGCAGACGCTCTACCACTGGACCATGGAGGCAGTCTCCAGGCAGACGCTCTACCACTAGATCACTGAGGCGGTCTCCAGGCAAATGCTCTACCACTAGGCCACGGAGGCGGTCTCTGGGCAGACGCTCTACCACTAGACCACGGAGGCGGTCTCTAGGCAGATGCTCTACCACTAGACCATGGAGGCGGTCTCTGGGCAGACGTTCTACCACTAGGCCATGGAGGCTGTCTTCGGGCGTATGCTCAACCACTAGATCACGGAGGCGGTCTTCAGGCAGACGCTCTACCACTAGACCACAGAGGCGGTCTCCAGGCAGACGTTCTACCACTAGGCCATGGAGGCTGTCTTCGGGCGTACGCTCAACCACTAGATCACGGAGGCGGTCTTCAGGCAGACGCTCAACCACTAGATCACGGAGGCGGTCTTCAGGCAGACGCTCTACCACTAGACCACAGAGGCGGTCTCCAGGCAGACGCTCTACCACAAAAGGTCACTGAGGCAGTGTCCAGGGGGGACACTTTACCACTAGACCACGGAGGCAGTCTACCAATTACACCAGACCAGGGAGGCGGTCTACCAATTACACCAGACCAGGGAGGCAGTCTCCTGTCAGACGCTCTACCACTAGTCCACATAACAATATAGCTGTGTAGACGGAGTGCACTTAATACACTCATACCATGAGTTTTCATCTTTTTTTCCCCAAGCAAAGACACTACATTGAGCATGAGACACCGGAAATAGCATGTCAATAAATCTGTAATGAAGTAAGGGAGCATCCATTATTAACAATTATAGAAACACTATCACAAAGAAAGATTCATCTGCAAAGTCCTTGGACTGTTAACCCAAGCCTTATACACATCTCATACTGACCATCACATAGTCGCTGAAGAGATCCTTCTTATCCACACTGCCCCAGGAGGGACAGGCCATAGTGACAACTCCAACACGGAAACTGGTCTGACTCTGGAGCTGACTGAGAGCGTGATGAAGATGGCTGGACGTACCAGTCTGTAGCCCATGTGATGTCAGCAGCAGCTCTACAACGGCATGAAGAGATCATGTAACATTGAGGTCATGAAAATAACGTAGAGGACAGGGAGATCTAACATGAGGTCATGAAAGTTACATGTAGAGGACACAGAGAGGTAACATAGAGGTCATGTAAGTTACATGTAGAGGACACAGAGAGGTAACATAGAGGTCATGTAAGTTACATGTAGAGGACACAGAGAGGTAACATAGAGGTCATGTAAAGGACATGTAGAGGAAATGGAGATCTAATATAGAGGGCATGTAAATTACATGTAGAGGACACAGAGAGGTAACATAGAGGTCATGTAAGTTACATGTAGAGGACACAGAGAGGTAACATAGAGGTCATGTAAGTTACATGTAGAGGACACAGAGAGGTAACATAGAGGTCATGTAAGTTACATGTAGAGGAAATGGAGATCTAATATAGAGGGCATGTAAATTACATGTAGAGGACACAGAGAGGTAACATAGAGGTCATGTAAGTTACATGTAGAGGACACAGAGAGGTAACATAAACATGATAAAGGTCATGTAAAGGACATGTAGAGGACATGGAGATCTAACATAGAGGTCTGTAAATTACATGTAGAGGACACAGAGAGGTAACAAAGAGGACATGTAAGTTACATGTAGAGGACACAGAGAGGTAACATAGAGGTCATGTAAGTTACATGTAGAGGACACAGAGAGGTAACATAGAGGTCATTTAAGTTACATGTAGAGGACACAGAGAGGTAACATAGAGGTCATGTAAGTTACATGTAGAGGAAATGGAGATCTAATATAGAGGGCATGTAAGTTACATGTAGAGGACACAGAGAGTTAACATAGAGGTCATGTAAGTTACATGTAGAGGACACAGAGAGGTAACAAAGAGGTCATGTAAGTTACATGTAGAGGACACAGAGAGGTAACATAGAGGTCATGTAAGTTACATGTAGAGGACACAGAGAGGTAACATAGAGGTCATGTAAGTTACATGTAGAGGAAATGGAGATCTAATATAGAGGGCATGTAAGTTACATGTAGAGGACACAGAGAGGTAACATAAACATGATAAAGGTCATGTAAAGGACATGTAGAGGACATGGAGATCTAACATAGAGGTCTGTAAATTACATGTAGAGGACACAGAGAGGTAACATAGAGGTCTTGTAAATTACATGTAGAGGACACAGAGAGGTAACAAGGAGGTCATGTAAGTTACATGTAGAGAACACAGAGAGGTAACATAGAGGTCTTGTAAAGGACATGTTGAGGACATGTAGATCTAACATAGAGGTCATGTAAAGGGCAGGTAGAGGACACAGAGAGGTAACATAGAGGTCTTGTAAAGTACATGTTGAGGACATGTAGATCTAACATAGAGGTCATGTAAAGGGCAGGTAGAGGACACAGAGAGGTAACATAGAGGTCTTGTAAGTTACATGTAGAGGACACAGAGAGGTAACATAGAGGTCTTGTAAGTTACATGTAGAGGACACAGAGAGGTAACATAGAGGTCATGTAAAGGACATGTAGAGGAAATGGAGATCTAACATAGAGGTCATTTAAGTTACATGTAGAGGACACAGAGAGGTAACAAAGAGGTCATGTAAGTTACATGTAGAGAACACAGAGAGGTGACATAGAGGTCTTGTAAAGGACATGTTGAGGACACAGAGAGGTAACATAGAGTTCTGTAAATTACATGTAGAGGACACAGAGAGGTAACATAGAGGTCATGTAAGTTACATGTAGAGGACACAGTGAGGTAACATAGAGGTCATGTAAAGGACATGTTGAGGACACAGAGAGGTAACATAGAGTTCTGTAAATTACATGTAGAGGACACAGAGAGGTAACATAGAGGTCATGTAAAGGACATGTAGAGGACATGGAGATCTAACATAGAGGTCATGTAAGTTACATGTAGAGGACACAGAGAGGTAACAAAGAGGTCATGTAAGTTACATGTAGAGAACACAGAGAGGTAACATAGAGGTCTTGTAAAGGACATGTTGAGGACATGTAGATCTAACATAGAGGTCTGTAAATTACATGTAGAGGACACAGAGAGGTAACATAGAGGTCATGTAAAGGACATGTTGAGGACACAGAGAGGTAACATAGAGTTCTGTAAATTACATGTAGAGGACACAGAGAGGTAACATAGAGGTCATGTAAAGGACATGTAGAGGACATGGAGATCTAACATAGAGGTCATGTAAGTTACATGTAGAGGACACAGAGAGGTAACAAAGAGTTCTGTAAATTACATGTAGAGGACACAGAGAGGTAACAAAGAGGTCATGTAAGTTACATGTAGAGAACACAGAGAGGTAACATAGAGGTCTTGTAAATTACATGTAGAGGACACAGAGAGGTAACATAGAGGTCATGTAAAGGACATGTAGAGGACATGGAGATCTAACATAGAGTTCATGTAAGTTACATGTAGAGGACACAGAGAGGTAACAAAGAGTTCTGTAAATTACATGTAGAGGACACAGAGAGGTAACAAAGAGGTCATGTAAGTTACATGTAGAGAACACAGAGAGGTAACATAGAGGTCTTGTAAATTACATGTAGAGGACACAGAGAGGTAACAAAGAGGTCATGTAAGTTACATGTAGAGAACACAGAGAGGTAACATAGAGGTCTTGTAAATTACATGTAGAGGACACAGAGAGGTAACATAGAGGTCATGTAAAGGACATGTAGAGGACATGGAGATCTAACATAGAGGTCATGTAAGTTACATGTAGAGGACACAGAGAGGTAACAAAGAGTTCTGTAAATTACATGTAGAGGACACAGAGAGGTAACAAAGAGGTCATGTAAGTTACATGTAGAGAACACAGAGAGGTAACATAGAGGTCTTGTAAATTACATGTAGAGGACACAGAGAGGTAACATAGAGGTCATGTAAAGGACATGTAGAGGACATGGAGATCTAACATAGAGGTCATGTAAGTTACATGTAGAGGACACAGAGAGGTAACAAAGAGTTCTGTAAATTACATGTAGAGGACACAGAGAGGTAACAAAGAGGTCATGTAAGTTACATGTAGAGAACACAGAGAGGTAACATAGAGGTCTTGTAAATTACATGTAGAGGACACAGAGAGGTAACAAAGAGGTCATGTAAGTTACATGTAGAGAACACAGAGAGGTAACATAGAGGTCTTGTAAATTACATGTAGAGGACACAGAGAGGTAACATAGAGGTCATGTAAAGGACATGTAGAGGACATGGAGATCTAACATAGAGGTCATGTAAGTTACATGTAGAGGACACAGAGAGGTAACAAAGAGTTCTGTAAATTACATGTAGAGGACACAGAGAGGTAACAAAGAGGTCATGTAAGTTACATGTAGAGAACACAGAGAGGTAACATAGAGGTCTTGTAAATTACATGTAGAGGACACAGAGAGGTAACAAAGAGGTCATGTAAGTTACATGTAGAGGACACAGAGAGGTAACATAGAGGTCTTGTAAAGGACATGTAGAGGACATGTAGATCTAACATAGAGGTCATGTAAAGGGCAGGTAGAGGACACGGAGAGGTAACATAGAGGTCTTGTAAATTACATGTAGAGGACACAGAGAGGTAACATAGAGGTCTTGTAAAGGACATGGTGAGGACATGTAGATCTAACATAGAGGTCTGTAAATTACATGTAGAGGACACAGAGAGGTAACATAGAGGTCTTGTAAAGGACATGGTGAGGACATGTAGATCTAACATAGAGGTCTGTAAATTACATGTAGAGGACACAGAGAGGTAACATAGAGGTCTTGTAAAGGACATGGTGAGGACATGTAGATCTAACATAGAGGTCTGTAAATTACATGTAGAGGACACAGAGAGGTAACATAGAGGTCATGTAAAGGGCAGGTAGAGGACACAGAGATGCAACATAGAAGTTGTGTACATGGCATATTGAGATCTTGGAGATGGAACAAAAAGGTGTGCCCAATAGACCACGGAGACAGTCAAAGGTCATGGAGTCAAGTAGAGGTCATGAAAGACATTTACATGGAGGTCACCTTGAGGCAATGACGAGTGTAAGACTTCCAACATGCCCAACATTAATGTTTACCACAGATATATCAACATATGACATGCAGAGGACAAGGAGATTAACATATAGGTCATGTAAATGAAATGTAGAGGACATGTAGACGACATGCAGAGGACAAGGAGATTAACATAGAGGTCATGTAAATGAAATGTAGAGGACATGTAGAAGACATGCAGAGGACAAGGAGATTAACATAGAGGTCATGTAAATGAGTGAGTTTGGTTTTACACTGCTTTTAGCAATACTCCAGCAATATCACTGCAGGGGACACCAGAAATGGGCTTCACACATTGTACCCATGTTGGGAATTGAACCCGGGCCTTTGGCGCGACGAGCAAACGCTTTAACCACATGGCTACCAGACAATGAAACGTCTTACGTGTCTTGTCAGCCAGGACTTTGAGACCATCCTTGAGCTTCTCCTGGAGTTTAGCAACAATGGCAGCATCAACACGGGGTTCAGCTTCATCAAAGTCCACGAAGTGCAGTACCAGGTCATTACTGCTCACTTCAAGGATGTCCTTGCTCAAAAGATTGGCCAATTTCTCGCTCGATGTTTTGTTGTCAAGGCGGACAAACTGGATTCAACAATATTGAGTCAGCACACGGGTAATAAATATAGACATGCCTGAGGCTCTCCAGCTCACCATGCTACTTGCAATGTGAAGATCAAGTTTGGCAACATCATTTTCATGACAGCATCTTGGTGTTATAATAAATATGGTCAAAATGAAATGTCCTAATACATGCCATATGCTTAACAAACACTATAAACACAGAGAGGTCAGCAACAGACAACAAACACACAGTAACAAAAGATTCCACATGCTTAATGTATACCACTGTCATACATAAAACTAAAGCCTGGGTATTGGACAGTACAACAATTTCATCTTTGCTGATGTGATGTTTCGGGTAAGATGCACCTCTAACTTCTTCACAAGCTGCCGTGAGTCGAGTTGCTTACGCAACTGAACGTGACGAGAGACTTGGCTACTGTCTGAAAGGACAGCATGAATAAATTTGAGGTAATATATACATGTACCGTATTCGAAGTAATTAGCGCCCAGGGCACTCTCAAAATTAGAAATAGGGGGCTCTTATTAGAATATTATTTTGTTGAAAAAAAACATTGTTGAAAGATAAATTTCGTTTGTTTATGCTGACAGCCTGAAATGTTTATGTATGACAGATATATTTTTCCAGAATTTAATTGCCCATAAATAAGGGTGCATATAACACACATGTGCATATTATACCGAATAAATAAGTCTTGTATACATTGAACAATCGGAAGGGATGCAAATTGGGCTTGTTCACTAGCCAATATATCAGCAAATATCGCCTTGGGCGCTTATTAGAGTGGGTCGCTTATAACGTCGAATACGGTATACGCATTTCTGAACACTAATGGGTGCCTGAGGTCTAGAAGATGAAGATTTCGATATTATAAAGGAGGCATGTTAATTAATTTCTTCATCCTAAACAAACGCACAAAAAGAATGGTTGAGGCTCATCGGATGTTGTAATTAATTTTGAAAATACCCCTGATGGTAAAAGTTTCATGAAAAAAGTATCCCTGCAGTGAAAGCATTTGGATTTCGGATTGCATGGATAATACAATTGCTACTCCCTTTTTGTCATCCATGTTTCCTGGTATAACCCTACACCTTTGTATTTGTCGTCAGTCACTTGATGCTCAGTTAATGAATTTATTACAGGTATAATTAGTGGAAGCACAAAGGTTCCGACTTGGCATTTCTTGTGTCTTGGGTAATTATGCCATCTAGATCTAGGTTTGAAGTGGCGTGAAATGTCTGTTTGTAATATGCACGTAACAGGGCAGAAAGAGAGGAATTATGAGTTGAGTTACAAAAAAAAACCATCCATCAAAGGGTTAACTGAAAATGTGTTGATTGATTTATCACTGTAATCTTGCACAGTGGATTCGTCAAAATTAAGTGTTTACATGTGTAGGTTTATTAAAGCAGACAGAATACACCCATATCTGGGGGTGACGTGTGTGTGTAAACACAACACACTTTGTTCAAAGGATTAGACAATAATACGTTGACTGATTGCTCATTGTCATCTAAGTTTTAAAAAAATAGTCTTGGTTCTCAGGCACCGTCCGCATCATCATAAAGTCTGCCACACGTTTCGTTTTTATTGCCACTTTTAAAAAAAATAAAATTCCTGATACTTAAAAACAAAGCTATCCAATAGAGCACTCAGTTACTTCGCTTTACATGTGCACTGCTTTACTGTGCATCTCGTGTTATTGTCATTGCGGCAAAAGGAGTTTGTATGGTTCTTTATGTAGGGAGGCCCTTTCCCAGGTTGATGGTACACAAGTGTTTATTTGTTTACATACTGCTTTGAACATGCCAACAAAAAGAACCACTGCCCGCACTTTGTTCTCAAAGTCATTGCCTGAGGATCAATTCTTTCATTTTTTTTAGCCTAACTCAATGGATTGTGACATACTCACCAGGGAACATAATTCAACAGCCTCAAACAATATGTCTGACTTACTCTCCAGTGAAGGCACTTCAACAGCCTCAAACAAGATGTCTGACTTACTCACCAGTGAAGGCACTTCCACAGCCTCAAACAAGATGTCTGACATACTCACCAGTGAAGGCACTTCAACAGCCTCAAACAAGATGTCTGACTTACTCACCAGTGAAGGCACTTCCACAGCCTCAAACAATATGTCTGACTTACTCACCAATGAAGTCACTTCAACAGCCTCAAACAAGATGTCTGACTTACTCACCAGTGAAGGCACTTCAACAGCCTCAAACAAGATGTCTGACTTACTCACCAGTGAAGGCACTTCAACGGCCTCAAACAAGATGTCTGACTTACTCTCCAGTTAAGGCACTTCAACAGCCTCAAACAAGATGTCTGACATACTCACCAGTGAAGGCACTTCAACCGCCTCAAACAAGATGTCTGACTTTCTCACCAGTGAAGGCACTTCAACAGCCTCAAACAAGATGTCTGACTTACTCACCAGTGAAGGCACTTCAACAGCCTCAAACAAGATGTCTGACTTACTCACCAATGAAGGCACTTCCACAGCCTCAAACAAGATGTCTGACTTACTCACCAGTGAAGGCACTTCAACAGCCTCAAATAAGATGCCTGACTTACTCACCAGTGAAGGCACTTCAACAGCCTCAAACAAGATGTCTGACTTACTCACCAGTGAAGGCACTTCAACAGCCTCAAACAATATGTCTGACTTACTCACCAGTGAAGGCACTTCCACAGCCTCAAACAAGATGTCTGACTTACTCACCAGTGAAGGCACTTCAACGGCCTCAAATAAGATGCCTGACTTACTCACCAGTGAAGGCACTTCAACGGCCTCAAATAAGATTCTCCCGAAGGTATCAGTCTCTTTCTTAATGAAGCTCTTCTGTTTCTGCCAAGTACTGAGTTTGTTTCCATCCCAGTCATCTCCTGTGTGTTCATCTTCACTGCGGCCACATCGACACACATTGTTGCTGAAACAGTAACCTTTCCATCACTGGCAGTACCCCTGAAGATGCAGGTCAGAACTAGTCTTCAGGAACCATGTGGTCATGCTCACTGACTTAGTGGATTACGCGTCATCATTCCAATATGCATGTGATCGTGATGTCAATCAGTGGACTGTCTGGTCCAGGCTCGATTATTTACAGACTGCAGTCTTATAGCTGGAATCATGATTGCTGAGTTTGATGGTAAACAACACAGATGAATGCACGCAATCAATGTAATTGTCATCAACCAGTGTTCAATGCATATGGTGCATGCAATCTCATTAAAATCAGATCTTAGTTTTGCGCTACTGCTAAACAAAGATCTGAGGACATCCCAGTACGGGTCACATCAGAACGACCTTTCGCGAATTTTGACCGACCAATGAAATGACTGACAAGAAATCGACATTAGCCAATCAGAAGGCAGCTTTCTCGAGCTTTACGACACTAGTTTCAAACTGGCGACTACGCTTTGAAACATATTTTGACGTATTTTGATTAAAAAAAATTAAAACTGATAAGAAGAACATTCTGGAATGGCTTATATATGGACTAGATTGCATGGTGAGTGAGTGAGTGAGTTAGTTGGGTTTAACGCCGCTTTTAACAGTATTCCAGTTATATCACAGCGTGTCTTAAGCGTTTACCACTTCGGGTATGGTGCTGACAAACCTAGAAACATAATCGGGGCGAACCGGGATTCGAACCCACAATCATAAGTTTCTGGCGTGCCCAAGGGACGCAACTCTGCACAGCGAATCGCGGCGCGTCAGACGACTGGGTCACCCGTGCCCCCACTAGATTGCATGGATATAATCATAAAACCTGTAACTGTCGTTCGGAATACCCCGTGTTAAATATTTTGTGGTTGCATGATTAGAAAACACATTCCGACACTTTCATGATCTGGAAAGCGACGCTCTGATTGGTTGGATGAAAGGTCGTTCTGATGTGACCCTTAATGGGATGTCCTCAGATCTTTGTTTTAGCGATAACGAGAACTAAGATCTGATTTTAATGAGATTGATGGTGCATGTCATCGTATCCCAATAGCATAGACGGATGATCATGATATAAATCACTGGATTCTCTGGTCCAGACTGGATTATTCACAGATCACGGTCATATAGCTGGAATATTGCTGAATTTAACCGTTAAACAACAAACAGGGAGTGAGTGAGTTGGGTTTAATGCTGCTTTTAACAGTATTCCAGTTATATCACGGCATGTCAGCTTAATGTGGGAGGAAAGCCCGAATTCATGCAGGTCTCAGATGTTTACCACTTTGGTGAAACCCACGAGGTCGGGTATGGTACTGACAAACCTAGAAACATAATCGGGGCAAATCGGGATTCGCACCCACAATCATAGGTTTCTGGTGTGTACAAGGGACACAACTCTGCACAGCGAATCGCGGCGCCTTACACGACTGGGCCACCTGTGCCCCTTAAACAACAAACAAACAAACATCCTTTGCTTTACATATGGAGAATGAAAAATAAAGGGCATTTTTTTTAATGTTTCAATGATTTACCCTGAAAAAACATAGGACACAAATAGGTTTCCCTAGACACAGATTCTTCTCCTTGTCTCACCATTGCGCCTTGCTGGTCTACATGTATTTTCAATAGATTTAAATAGGTCCAAGGAACATGCATATTTGGACTCTTGAAATATCCATTATGCCTCAAAGTGAGATTGACCAATCAGAGAGCAGAACTACTAACCCCACATGAGCCCTATACCATCAGTAAAAATCCAAGATGGTTGATACTGACCTAATATGAGACTGTATACCGTCAGTAACAGCCATCTTGGATTTTCCAACACCCACCTCACATATTTCACATGAAAATTCTGGCACCAAATTAGTTATCTGACACTGTTTTGTGTTTTACTATCATTAATTGTGATGTGCAAGGACATTAATCTGTTTTTTTAGATCAGGTTCTTGAGTTTATTGATAAGGTTTATAGTTAAAATTGTCAACAAGGTTTGGCCTCTAAGGTTTGAAGAGTAGTCTCCCTTTGACCCTCAACGTTGTTAGTGTCAAGTTTTCACTTTGATATGACACAAGCGATAATGATGCCAGAGAGTGTAAACTTTTCTGCATAATAAATTTGTTATGGTGTCTTTAGTTGATGTATACAGTGTCATATTAGGTTAGCAGAAAAATATTGGGCGAAGCGGCAACTAAAGACACCTTAAGTAATAATATGCTCTGTACAATTTCAGTAGGGTCGGGGATTTTCAAGTACAGATGTTTTGTCTTCAGCACATCACTCTGATGTGGGAGTTTGGTGAAACCAGCAAGTATGTGCTATAGACATTTAGACCTCTGGGCCATCATCTTTTAAACCCTAAAGGAACAAAAGAGTTTGTGACCAAACCTCTGTTTGAAGTCCTGTCTGTAGAGGACACATTCACGTATACACAGCTGTTTGATCCAACCCGCCATGTCATTGAATGTCTGTGAACATAAAACAGAGAGTATACATTGCATGCCATAATCTCTCCCCCAAACTCCCCAAAACGATTAAGGGGGCACGGGTGGCCCAGTCGTCTAAGGCGCCGCGCTTCGCTGTGCAGAGTTGCGTACCTTGGGCACGCCAGAAATCTATGATTGTGGGTTCAAATCCTGGTTCGCCCCGATTATGTTTCTAGGTTTGTCAGCACCATACCTGTGCTCGTGGGTTTCACCGAAGTGGTAAACGTCTGAGACCTGCATCACTTCGGGCTTTCCTCCCACATTAAGATGACACACCACGATATAACTGGAATACTGTTAAAAGTGGCGTTAAACCAAACTCACACACACACACACAAAATTATTAAATCATTTATAAATCATATTAAAACAAGTATCTTGAAAAAAATATATTCCAAAGTCAATATTGATAGCCAAAAAATGTTAAACACCGACTCTTATTGTTGAAAATAGCAGACCCGACATCATAGTGTTTGGTAGATTACTAGTGTTCGTCAATGACACTAATGAAACATTGAGTTTTCGCTCAGTGATCTTACACATATTCGTCCTTATTATGCCTCAAAGTGAGTTTGACCAATCAGAGAGCAGCACTACTAACCCCACATGAGCCCGTCACTAAAAATCCAAGATGGACTGACCTAATATGAGACCGTATACCGTCAGTAACAGCCATTTTGGATTTTCCAACACCCACCTCACATATTTCATATGGAAATTCTGGTATAGAAATTCGTTATTCTACACTGTTTTATGTTTCAATATCATTAATTGTGATGAGCAAAGTCATTATTATGAACTTAAGTGGCCAGTCCAGGGCCCCGTTCCCCAAAGCGATCTTAGCGCTAAGGTGATCGTAAGTCCCCTACTTTAACATAGGCTTACGATCATCATAGCACTAAGATCGCTTTGAGGAACGGGGCCCAGAATGTAAAATATCAAATTAATGTTGATATTGTGACACATCATGAATATGACAACTGGATTCCCATCCAGGGAATAGCGGCGTTCTGTGTGGGCTTCCTCTCAACTATAAATTTCCAAATCACTTAGAAAGCTAAAATTTGATTGGCTAAAAAATCCAACCATTCTTCATTTAGATTGGGTGGTTAAAGTTCACTCAGATCTATCAGATCTTCATGTAGAGAGGTATAGTATTGGAGTTGCAGAAATAATTCTAATCACATTGGGCTCATCAATCTCATTAAAATCAGATCTAAGTTCTCGCTATTGCTAAACAATGATCTGAGGACATCCCATTACGGGTCATGACAGAGTGAGTGAGTGAGTGAGTATGGTTTTACGCCGCTTTTAGCAATATTCCAGCAATATCACGGCGGGGGACACCAGAAATGGGCTTCAAACATTTTACCCATTTCGGGATTCGAACCCGGTTCTTCGGCGTGACGGGGTCATGACAGAACGACCTTTCATCCGACCAATTAAAGCTTTGTTTACTAGATCATGAAAGTGACAGTCGGAATGTGTTTTCGACAGTTACGGTCCCTACGACTGATTCAGTCAAATTTATCGTCAATCTCTCACTTCCATTGGATAAACATTTGAACGGAGGAGACATTGCATAGTACGTGGGAAGCACTGCCATACAATATCAACTGTACATTAGATATTCCGGAATGTTTGTTTGTTCAGATTCAAAATTTTAATCGAGAACTGTGTCAACATATTTTTCAAGCGTAGTCTGAAATGGAAGTGGCCAGGTTGAAACTAGTGCTGTAAAGCTCGAGAAAGCTGCTTTCTAATTGGCTGATGTCGATTTCTTGTTAGTAATTTCAGTGTTCAAAGTTCGCGAAAGGTCATTCTGACGTGACCCGTAATGGGATGCCCTCAGTTCTTTGTTTAGCGGCAGCGAGAAATTAGATCTGATTTTAATGAGATTGATTGGGCTCACTAACCTCTAAAACAATGGAAGATGTGAGTTATCTCCCCTTGTCAGTCCCTATTTCTCTGAAACAAGTGGTCTAGATGAAGAACTCGAGTCCATCTAAACCTGACCCATTCTCAGGTATTTGAGTACCCAACAAAGCCCTAAATACAACACTGCCTGGTCAGAACAGGTTGCTCTTACAGTTCTCCATCTAGGATCAGCCTCCAGGGTGTCTGTTGTTGAGGGCATCCGTCTGTACTGCAACATTCCATCAGCCTCGTCCTCGTCCTCTCCCTCCATCTGCAGGGTCCCAGCATCGAAGCTGTCACTTGTATTCTTGTCTGGGGCCTCCATTAAACTGTCACATTCACTCATCCCTGTGGAATTTACCAAAACAATTACTCAGCATGCAATCTCATTCACATGTTATACTTAGTGAAAACATTGACTCATTAACAAGATAATCTGTACATACCATGTTGTATGGTATCTGTTCTGAAGACATGTTTGTTCATTAGAAATGTTCTCCAAAACGCACACAGAGCCTATAGATCACGCTTCACGTGCAGTAGTAAACTGTTCTGAAGACATGTTCGTTTTAAGAATCTGTTCTCCAAAACGCAACCCATGCATAAAGATCGCATCGCAAGAACACACCATCTTATGGCTGTGACTGCACATGAAAGGCGAGGGTTGTGAACAAATATAAGGCGGTAGCGAGATTCAATCATTTAGTTGGTTAGAGGGTTGGTTAGAGAGTTTGTTAGAGAGCTGGTTAGAGAGCGTTAGTTAGTGTTAGACAGTGTTAGACTCCGTAGGGGTAACCAACACATAAGCAGACAGTTAGAATCAGCATTAGTCTTAGAAATTTCGTTCCTTTCATTTGAAGTTTATTCACCTTCCTTCACATAATAATAGGTTATCACGTTTAGTTCCTTATAGGTCTTCCATAGTTTATTAATAGGTTTTCACGTTTAGTTCCTTATAGGTCTTCCATAGTTTATTAATTGGTTATCACGTTTAGTTCCTTATAGCTCTTCCATAGTTTATTAATAGGTTATCACGTTTAGTTCCATATAGGTCTTCCATAGTTTATTAATAGGCTATCACGTTTAGTTCCTTACAGGTCTTCCATAGTTTATTAATAGGCTATCACGTTTAGTTCCTTATAGGTCTTCCATAGTTTATTAATAGGTTATCACATTTAGTTCCTTATAGCTCTTCCATAGTTTATTAATAGGCTATCACGTTTAGTTCCTTATAGCTCTTCCATAGTTTATTAATAGGTTATCACGTTTAGTTCCTTATAGGTCTTCCATAGTTTATTAATAGGTTATCACGTTTAGTTCCTTATAGCTCTTCCATAGTTTATTAATTGGTTATCACGTTTAGTTCCTTATAGGTCTTCCATAGTTTATAAATAGGTTATCACGTTTAGTGCCTTATAGGTCTTCCTTAGTTTATTTATAGGTTATCACGTTTAGTTCCTTATAGGTCTTCCATAGTTTATTAATAGGTTATCACGTTTAGTTTCTTATAGCTCTTCCATAGTTTATTAATAGGTTATCACGTTTAGTTCCTTATAGGTCTTCCATAGTTTATAAATAGGTTATCACGTTTAGTGCCTTATAGGTCTTCCTTAGTTTATTTATAGGTTATCACGTTTAGTTCCTTACAGGTCTTCCATAGTTTATTAATAGGCTATCACGTTTAGTTCCTTATAGGTCTTCCATAGTTTATTAATAGGTTATCACGTTTAGTTCCATATAGCTCTTCCATAGTTTATTAATAGGCTATCACGTTTAGTTCCTTATAGCTCTTCCATAGTTTATTAATAGGTTATCACGTTTAGTTCCTTATAGGTCTTCCATAGTTTATTAATAGGTTATCACGTTTAGTTCCTTATAGCTCTTCCATAGTTTATTAATTGGTTATCACGTTTAGTTCCTTATAGGTCTTCCATAGTTTATAAATAGGTTATCAGGTTTAGTGCCTTATAGGTCTTCCTTAGTTTATTTTTAGGTTATCACGTTTAGTTCCTTATAGGTCTTCCATAGTTTATTAATAGGTTATCACGTTTAGTTCCTTATAGCTCTTCCATAGTTTATTAATTGGTTATCACGTTTAGTTCCTTATAGGTCTTCCATAGTTTATAAATAGGTTATCACGTTTAGTGCCTTATAGGTCTTCCTTAGTTTATTTATAGGTTATCACGTTTAGTTCCATATAGGTCTTCCATAGTTTATAAATAGGTTATCACGTTTAGTGCCTTATAGGTCTTCCTTAGTTTATTTATAGGTTATCACGTTTAGTTCCTTATAGGTCTTCCATAGTTTATTAATAGGTTATCACGTTTAGTTCCTTATAGGTCTTCCATAGTTTATTATAGGCTATCACGTTTAGTTCCTTGTTCATTTATAAAAGGTAGGTCATTCAAATTTCAATTAGTTTTCATTTAAGTTAAACCATGCTAAAAAATATTTAGTTCCACTGCGAAACAGTACAAAACTGGGGATAGGGACCAAATTACAAAAAACAAACATTTATACCATTTCATGAGACGGGTTGAACTGTTTTTGACAGTTCGCCTTTAAAGGTATCAGGCCTTCCATATTTTTGGTTTGGTTAACAGCTCTGCTTACCTGAACAAAAATATTATGAAAAAGATCAGAATGACAAGGTTTATCTTATACTACCAACATTAAAGATCACTTTGACAATAAAAATAATCCAAGGGAGTTTTTATTTAACCATGATAAGTAAGGCAGAAATTTTCAAATGATAAATCGTCAGTTTCATTTTTAAGGACCCAAAACAGGCCACGGTTGTTATTTTATATCACCTACGGATCCATTTCAAACTTTAAGATGATTAATAAATCCTGTACAAAGCATTTTATTTTTGTTATATTGTTTGACCAAAGGCCATACATGGATTAATATTCATGTGATTTTCATGATAATGAACTTTCTCCATCATTTGGCATTCTTTGTATATAACAGTGCAGCCTTCTAAACCTGAACCTTGTCAGTCCCTAAACCCTGCTTTCAGGACAACTATTGTTCGGAATATAAATATCAATAAAAACAAACACAATAACCTACCCATGATGGTTAATCCTGAAATGTCTTAATGTGGGAGCTTACACATGGAACAGTGTCATTCAGATTAACAGGGTTTATGTACTATTTTCAGCACCAAATTTGAGGAAATATGTATAAATCCTGAAATTTTCAGGAAATATACATATTTACTGAGTGAGTCAGACAAATGTCCTGAAATTTACAGGAATTATACATATTTCCGGTAACATATGCTCAATTCCACAGGAAATGCACACCCTAAAGTGTGGATGTTGCCACCAGAGATTAAACAGATGCATTACAGACAGACTTACAAAACAGCAGAGGGCGATTGCTTCTCAAAACATGTTGAATTCATGTCACACAACATCCTCTGTTACATACTATCACACATTCTTACATTGATGGACAGGAAACCTCGGATTGTAAGTTGGATTATCTTAAAGTAATATGTGTATGACTCAAAGTAATTTTGATAGATTGATTGATTATGGTTTTACGCCACTTTTAGCAATATTCCAACAATATCACGGCGGGGGAGACTAGAAATGGGCTTCACACATTGTACCCATGTGAGGAATCGAACCCGGGTCTTTGGCGTGACGAGCGAACGCTTTAACCACGAGGCTACCCCACCTACCCTTAAGTAATTTTTAAAATAAGATGGTCCAACCAGAAGTGAGGTGAGGTGAAATTTGGTTTAACGTCACGTCCAAGATTATTGCACTTATATAAGCAACGTGCACACACGTGTGTGTGTGTGTGTATGTGGCTGCTTGTACTAGTTCGGACTGATACCGATTAATACTGCTAGCCCACTGAGATACCATGCCACAGTTTAACATGAATACCCCACTCAGACACAGTATACTAACTCCAAGCCGACCAGTCCTTGTTTTAGCCCCTTAATGCCGAGCGCCAGACAGGGTGACAACAAGTACCATCTTTTAACGTCTTTTGGTAGGATGCAGCCGGGGATCGAACCCTGGACCTTCCGCTCTCCGGGCAGACACTCTACCTAATCAGATGTGTCAGTGCCCACATTGTTCATCTTGAACATGAACATGGAGAACGAAAGAACAGAATGATGGAATATTTTCAAAATATAGGGTAAACCCTTTCATGGTCTTATTGTAAGTATTACTGTTGCAGTTCTTGGGATCAGTAATACTTCTCACAAACTGGCTACCGGAAAGAACCCTACTTGTCACACCAGAATACGTAGAACTGTATAGTTATTAAAGAGGCAACAGATGTTAAATTTTAAAGTTTACATATTTTTTGCTGATCAAGTTGGCTTCAGTAGGTTGAAATAAAAATTACACAATTCTTTTGCTCAATAATTAATATGTTGTTTAGGTCAGTCGGTTTGGTGGGGAAATATAAATGCTGATTCATGTTTTTAAGTGCAGGTTTTCAGTATTTTCACAGTAACCGAAGTAACAACATGAACTTTTTTGTCAGAGAAGGCTCGCTTGTTTTCATTGTAAGGTGTTTGCAGTTGCCGGATAAAAATCTGAATATAAAATGTATTTGATCAAATATTATTCAAGCAGATACATTATTTATGTTTGATGTTTGATGTTTGAAGTTGTATCTCTTTAGTTTTCTGGCCCATCTGGGATGGAGTGGTTGTGGTCATGACATTGCTAGACCTCCTCAGGGGCGAAGTCTGCAGCAAATGTCATTCAAAATTCCAATTTTCCCGATTCATGTTATTAATAATATCAGAGACCATATAATAGACTATTATATGGTCTCTGATAATATACAGGCTTAAAACTAATAACTACAATTTTATGGTTTTGTAGAAAAAGCACCAATAAATAGGAAGAGGTTTATATTTTAGTTTTATATTACTGCATTGGATTCAATCTCAAATGTTAAAATTAAAGCTGCAAGCAGCAATGGCGGGCTCCAAGTTACACTGTGCACAAACGTCCATGTTCGAATCCTTAAAGGGTTTCCTTGTACCAAATCCGTCACATGTAGGCACAACTTGCAGGGTATTGCCGCTACGAAATTGGCGTGTGCTAAGTCTGTTTTAAACCCATTTCCGACATCAAAAATGTTCGAATCCTCAAAGGGTTTGTTTGTACCAACTCTGTCAAAAGATAGTCACCGTTTGCAGGACATTGGCGTGTTCCAGGGGTGTCCCAAATTCTAATCAAATATTACCACCAAGTGTTGTTACTTTTTCCATGCACCCAAGAACAGAAAATAAGATGCATATGATACCTAACTTCATGTAAACTTGCAATAGTTTCTGTCAACAAGCTAACAAGATATGATCG